AAGCTGCATTTGAGATTTGACCCGGATGCTGTTCAGACTTGACCTGGCAGTTTTCTGGGTCAGATGACACTTCTATGAGTCACTGACCCGTATAATCATTCACGATCGAATCTGACCCGTCGGACTTTTGACCAGCAACGATAATATATTAAAGGGAAAATACAACATTTGCGAACATCAAAAAATAAAACTACCAAATCATTTGGAAATACCTTGCTGGACTGTTAGTGAATGACAGTGTAAAGCATCCTGTAAAATCATGGCACCTGGTATACTGTCATTTTCAAGAAAAGTGGTATTTTTGTATCAATTTCCAACGCTGATCGGCCGATCAGCGTTGGAAACAACTGGCTTTTTTTTCAAATACTGGCCCCAATTGACCATCGCACTTGTTTGCAATCGATTACAAACCTATGAACGGGTACGAGCCAGCTGGACTGGTTCCCTGACCTTACAATTCCCCAATGTATGTAAACTGATCTGTTTCTTCTTATATGGAGTCAGGGAACCAGACTACAGGAAAATGATCGTTTTTCTTGGTTTTTATAGCATTTTCGAACCCAAAACCTCAAAAAAGTCAGTGTAACTATATATGCTATATATTTCCAACCCCCCAATTCCATTCATTTCTGAAAATTACAGCAAAAGCAAATGATGTATATTCCCTTTAAAGGCATATAGTATCATTTGCATTTACACCAAAAATAACGCACCGAATTATTATCAAAAACCTTACTTGGATAAAGATCACACTGGTACTAAACACCCCGTGAAATTATTCCGTCTGGCTTGCTGTCAAAAAAAATCAAGAAATGCAGGTGATTTCCAACAATCTGTCAGTTGCCATATTTTTTAAATAAAAGGGATGAAATGGACGAAATCGTGTTTCGTGATCAAAAAATTGCGTATGGCTTTCCACTGTTTTCTCGTACTATCCACCGAGCTGAAACTTCAACAGGTTAGGTTTTGAAAATTCTTCTCTTGATTTTGAGTGGTGTCTTATTGGGAAAGGGAAAAATGATCCTAGGCATTAAAGAAAACTAGAAATGTGCAGTTTACATATTAAACCCCAAATTTTAAGGGTTTGTTGATACAACGACTCATGACGTTCACCTCCGTGTTACATAAACTGTCTCTGGCAAGTTTCATCTTTATTGAACATAAACACGTATACCAATATGTCACATAATTCGGGGATTGCGTATACAATTGCGCAGCTGTCCGCGTCACTATCTGGCTACCAGACCATAAATTACACGCAGGTATTACGATGCGTAGTTCCTTATGGTGACATTAAAGGCCAGCCTGGCCGATACCTGTGCCCGTAGGAAGCAATGGACTTCGTGGCGTGTAGAGTGGAGTACAAGCTTTCGGTAATCAGTGAATGTGTTCCAGATGTAGAGGAAAGTTTTTTTCACGAGGGGGATAAAAACATCAGGGATCCACGATCTCCGCGACTGATCTAATTAAGAGCATTTTTTGTTTGGTGATTGACCTTTTCATAATCTGTATTTAGTCTCCCAAGCTTAGATATCAAAACTTAACATCATAATTAAATTAAAGTCCCAGACGTAAACACCATAAAGGCACTGGTATGCGGATGCTTAACGAGCGCTGGGCGGTATAATTGCAAAATGAATAGATGGAATTGAAATAAAATTACTAGGTAAATAGTAATTTATGTTTGTGGGACCATGAAGTGTACTATGAAATGCATAAGATTTATTCTCCTAATCCTATGTGTGATTGCAACTAGTCTTTTTTTAAACACAAAATGGCATCTTGTACCAATTAATGATCCATGTATATAAATCGAAAAGGTTAAATGCTTAATGCATGACTAAACATGGCGTCCATCTTGTGTCCTGAAATTGAGACTAAAACCGTCCAGCTGTTTTGAGGCGTTTGCTTGCCTGTTGGCGTAACTTTGGTTCCCCTCGTTCATTATGGCGTCATCACTGTCCACCGCTCTTTAATCTCTGAATTTAAAGGGAATATACATCATTTGCCTTTGCTGTAATTTTCAGAAATGGATGGAATTGGGGGGTTGGAAATATAAAGCAAATATAGTTACACTGACTTTTTGGAGGTTTTGGGTTCGAAAATGCTATAAAAACGATCATTTTCCTGTAGTCTGGTTCCCTGACTCCATATAAAAAGAAACAAAGCAGTTTACATACATTGGGGAATTGTAAGGTCACGGAACCAGTCTAGCTGGCTCGTACCCGTTCATAGGTTTGTAATCGATTGCAAACAAGTGCAATGGTCAATTGGGGCCAGTATTTGAAAAAAAAGCCAGTTGTTTCCAACGCTGATCGGCCGATCAGCGTTGGAAATTGATACAAAAATACCACTTTTCTTGAAAATGACAGTATACCAGGTGCCATAATTTTACAGGATGCTTTAGACTGTCATTTACCAACATCCTATTAAGGTATTTCGCAAAAACTTGGTAGTTTTATTTTTCGATGTTTGCAAATGTTGTATATTCCCTTTAAACATCTGTCGATTATACGATGAATCATCAACCTCAATTTGTTTTATTACATTGTACTCAAAAGTTAAAAATGTTTACCCCGTGATGCGATTTTTTTCTCTCCCAACGAATTTTCAATTTGTATGTTTTGTTTTAATAAAAAAAATACATTGAACATTCTGTTTTTGGGTGTCTGCAACCCTCTGAAACGGGCTTTGTGAACAAATAACTCGCCCTGCGAGAGCAATTGATCAATATCCTAGTCAAAATGAACATCCTTCAAATTGCTAGGAACAAGCACTTACAAAAAAAAATATCTAATTTTCGAGGTGAAACTCGAAAATTGCACTGGAAATACATCTTTAATAACATCTGAACGGTTTAGCGGATTAACTTTCAAAAGTTTAAGTTCGAAATTTAAAATCTGAATCTTTTTGAAATGAGAAAAAAATCAATCTACCAAAACACAGATTTACATATAGGATCATGTCCTAGTATACTGTATGCCGCCATAACTTAATTTTTAGGATATCAGCTAAATCATGTTGGCGCGGTTCAGTCACACTCGGATATTTCAGATGTTGACGTTTTTGATTGTCTTTTTTAAGTATGTTATTACTGCAATGGTATTTCACGATGTAGCAATCCAAAGTATAGCGTCACATATCATCGTAGGAATCTTTGGACTTTTATCAGCAACTTGACTGTTGGTGTAATACACTTCCCTGGTATGCGATGATTCGTATCGGGTGATAATAGTGCACGCGAACCAGCGAGGTTAGTGCTATCCATTGATCTCCATGGTGCTATCACTTACAGACTGGTTCCCGCCGCCCCTTTCGACGTTATGAATATTAAGAACATTGATCTCCATTAGTAAGACTTACTAATGGGATCAATGTTAAGAACGCACCGGGAACCAGCGTATGTTCGCTCTCGTTGTCAAGCAAAACCGAGCGTTCCCTGGTACGCACTTTTGAATGTAAACAGATAAACAGCGCTCATAAAATAATGTAAACCAGCGAAATGTAAGTTCCCTTCCTCGTTGCTAGGCTAAATAGCGCCCTCGTCGTGATTGCGTGCATCCGATAGCTTTGAATGGTTTACACAGTACTACAATAATTTAATGGATCGGCCATAACCAGAGAAGTCTTTATGTGACGTCAGAGTAAAAAAAAATGTCCAAAATATCCCGCGGCTACGAAGGAATTTCAAACACGTGTCGCCACACGCGCATACGAAGATTATGTTTCTGGCAATGGCCGCGGTGATATTATAGTGGAGTATCTTTGGAGGAAAGTACAGTCTGATAAACATAATCTGCTGGAAACCAGTTAGAAAACGAGTATTGAAATATAATACACAAACAAACATTGTTTTCATCAACCAAATAAGATTATGTTCGTAACACAATTCAATTATGCGTTGCCCAACTTCGAACTTCCCCAATGATTTGATACATTGTAATTAAAACTGCAAGACACTTGTTTTGTTGAAATGTGTGATTTTCTACTTAAAATTGTCGCATGCATTTTACCCGTGAGTTTTATAACGGAATTTTTGTTATGTACTTTGAGCTTTATTTTCCGGTAATGTTGTATATACTGTAGATTTTCGGTTACCGCATTGTGTTACGACACAAAATGTAGACATTCCAAGCATGTATCGAACGTTCGCGTGCTAGAATGTACTGCTGGCTGCTGGCATGTGGCGAACATTCTTCCTGTTTAAAGGTAAGAAAGTGGAAGGCGCTGTCCATATCTCATGTCTTTTGTCATAAATGTTCCAATGTATACATTAAGTCGAAGAGTATGTTGCAAATGCACAGTTTAAAAAAAATTGCATGCCTACTTCCTCTTGTTGTTGATTGAATTTAACACGTAATGATAAAGTACTTGCACTCAAATGGGCTGGTATTCTGCTCAACGTTGGTCAACATACCAACATCCTAGAGAAAATTCCTCCCAACATTTAAAGTTGGTCATGTTCAGTACCCGAATTCACCAACAATTTAGGTAATATGTCTATAGACACTGAAGAGTGCAACAAAATACAATTTTGAGCTAACTTGCTATTACTTGAGTGCATAAAGTTTCTTGTATCATTTGTTTTGCAGTTGCAAAATACTTCAGTGTTAAAGATGTATTCTCCGTACTATTTCGAGTTTCACCCCGAAAATAGATTTGGTTTTCCAATTGCTATTTTCCCAGCAATATGAAAGGTACTCACTTTTGAATGAGAATTACTTGCGGCCTGAAAATAATTCGGCTCTCGCAGGGCGGGTTCATTAATTGTGCGCAAAATGAAAGCCTTTTTTCAGAGAGTGTTGCAGACGCCCAAAGTTGGAAAAAGTATTTAAAAAACACCAAAACATACCAATTAAAACTTCGTTAGGTGAAAAGAAATCTATTTTCATAGGAGCATCTTCAAAACCATGTGATGTTTTTGAGTGAAACACATCTGTCAAAGTTTTGCGCACGTTATGTGTCGCCTACCGATGTACATGTAGTTGATATGTACTCACCCAAAGTAACGTGTTGAAGAACACCATCAGACATCTCAGACACAAGACGCATCCTTCCTTGCCATCCATCTCATCAATTGTCTCCACGTGGCGGTGATGACGCCTCCTACTCAGCGAATCAGACCCGCCCACTCTCCCGTCCCCTCCTTCGATTTCTTGGATGTCGGCTCCCGAGTCGGCGTGGCGCCCTTCCCGGTGGTTCCAGACTCGCCGGACTTGGTTGATGGGCTTGGCCCGCGAGAGGGCAAGTACGAAATATTCCAGCGTGTCTCGAGTCTTATACGGTGACTTAAACCTGGAACGAGGTATACAAATACCCCGAGCCTGGTTTACACCGATTCACGATAACTCTAATATCCACACCCACCAAAGTCCGACACCAATCTGGAGTTTTGTGTTCTTGAGGAAGTTTGAAGGGAGAGGGTTTTGAGGATTGCGAATCCTCGACCTGCTTGATCCAGGTGAGGCGTCTTCTTCGTATCAACCCTAGAAGTTAAATCCAGCGTTGCCTTAGCAACTGCAGTCTGGGTTGTTGTTATAATTGAATTACAGTCTGAGAGATTTTAACCGTGGCGTGGAGGTTTAAGCTTGAGGTAGGGGATAATGTTGTCTCAACATCTGTCGCTTGCTTGCATGATCAGACAGTTGGTGATGAAATTTCTTCCCGCTTCAATCTCTTGAGCCAAAAGCCAAGTCCGCGTGAGCGCGGACACACAGAACTGCGCGCAAGTTCACGCAGGCTCGTCTCCCATTGGTCGCTTTTAACGCAGCGCGTATCTCCCCTGCGGAGATCCTGATGACGTAGGCGTCCCTGGGCTAATCACAGTATCATCATCGTTGGGCGGCAATCACTTTACAGTCCGCGGGAGAAATTCGCGCCAAATCGCGCAGCTGAATCAATAGTCTTCGTCTCCAGGCGCAAATGCCGCATGTCTGACCTTGTAAGCACCTCACTGTCCAAAAACAATCAAAAGGTTTATTTTCAGGAATGCATGCACCCTGGAGCATCTTGTGGTTTCTAATAATTGTATGGTTTATTAATTTATATTTGTTGTTTGGGAGAGGGGGGTAGCCAGAGATAAGCGATTGTTAAAATGAGGTTATCTCCAGTGAGAATCGATCGAAATAAATTCCGAAATGTTGAAAACATTGCAAATGGAGATTCGAGGTCTTCGAACTTCTGCATGCAGGAAAATAAAACACATTTTTGTCACCAAGCATAAATTTTGTGCAAGGTTTTAAATGTCATTTTCCGCGTTTCCTCAGAGGTCCCTTGATACCATCAATATTATGATATCACGTAAACATGCCACAATGCACATTCACCGGCAACAAATCAAAATTATGTGCAATGTCTGCAATACCACAAGTCTGTATAAATTTTGAACCCCGAAAAAGCTTTTCCAATTCAGAAATACAATTTCAGCGCGAGACACAATTTAGTTTCCCCAAGAGGCTTATGTATATATGAATCCCGCTGTGGTAACTCACGTAAATTATATTTTATCAATTCTTTCCTCGACTTATGAAAATAATTGTCCAGTTTATGGTTGCGAATATCGTTTCGCTTGTTTTCCAGAAGGTTTAAAACATTACGCGAGAAGCAGTGCGATAGACGTCATTTCAGACGTTTTTAATAGAATGTATGGGAACAGAAATTGGTTGAATGGACGGATACACGTTCGTTGCGGGAACAGTCAAAGATAATTTAAACTGACGACTGTGACAGAAACAAAACATAGGGATGTATAGTGTTCATGCGCAGCGGGGTTCACGAATGCGTGTCGCATTCAATGTCGGTCAAAATCAGGAGACGACAGCTGCAGTACAATCCCGCCAAAAAAGCGCGCCAAAACAAAAAAGCGCGCCGAAATATGAGGAACGAAATGAAGCGGGAGAATTGAGGCGCGAAAATCCAATGATTGCATGCAGACGAGGGGAAAGCAGTCTGGATTATGGGAGGAACTATGAACGAACGAATACTGATGACGACCGTCAAGGTCGAGAATATGTACAATATACGAATGATATCATGTTTATGATGATGCAATTTAAAACAATGTATTTTAGTTAGTCGACAGTTGGTAAATTGGCACCAAACGTCTTTAGTATTTGCAATGTTTCAAAGAAAAATATTACCGAGTCATTAATACTATACATAAATTATGTTTGAAAATATATTTCAATCTCGAAAAGATATTTCAATGAATCTATTGCGTCACATTATATTCATAACAAAAATTAGCAATGCGTTGGCATCATGCAATTGCAAGATGTCATTGTTATAGAAATCATCACACCCCCAGTCGGAAGTTGAATAAAGTCGGAATTTGACCTTCTCTTTTGTCTAGATATCTCTTTAAAATTGCTCGATGTTGCAGGAAAGATAAAATAAGTTGTCACATTAAAAAAATAGACTTCCAACTGCTTTTGAAAGAAAATATAAAACACAAAATACATTTCCAATTGGTAAAATGAAAACCGGTAATTTTATCAAAAGCCTTTTTGATCTTACGCAATTGCAAAATTCCATCGACAAGATTAATGGAAACATTGAAACGTTACCTTTTTGTGCAGCCTGGAGAGATTCAAAACACACGACCAATATTAAGATGAATAGATGCAAATTATATGCAGATTTTCCAGCCCCAGATCAATCAACTTAATGATACATCTCTCTCATCAAGGACGACAGGTGCACAGCTCACGTGACACATCAGGTGTGGAAAAGTGAAATGAGAGACCACCTTGAGACTTGGAGTGTAGATCGATTCAAGGAGGAAAATCTGGCTCATCAATTGCAGTCCTCATGGGCGACTGCCACCTCTCCCTTGCGTCCTCAAGGATCCTTGTGAGATATGTGCTTCATCAACATCCGAGTGCGCGCGTCTTGAGTGTGAGAAGCCTCTGCTGTTGTAGCAAAGAGAATAATGAATTTTGGAGTGTGTGCGATCGCGCGCTGGACGGATGGCAGGACAGAACCACCGTGCGACCGTGCAGAAGGGGAGGGGGCTCGGCTAGACTTATGTCAGTCTCTCCATGGTTCTCAGGGTTATGCGCAGCGATTCCAGCAATCATCTTCACGCGCGAAAATCTTCTTGTGCTTTCCATATAAAGTTTAAGATGAGGAGAGTCGTTCCTTTGCAATTGCTTAGAAATAAGTGGCTTTCCGATATTGATGTTTTACCCGCTTTTGAGAAGGCAACTGGACTTGTCTCAGTCCCTTAATGTTTAAACTATTAATTAAATCATCGGATGAACATGTCCGATAGACACCCGTAACCAAACCCGACCTCTGAATTCTATCATACCTATTTTCCGCCAACCACCCCCCCCCCAAAGGATACTGTTACTAAAAGGTAATGGTCTTGGTGTTCACGAAGTTACACTGAAAACCAAATGTCGAAGGTTTTAAACCTTATTTAGTCAGCGACCTTGAGTCAGAATTAATTCAATCAAATCATATGGGTTTTTTTTACGTGGGGGAACTTTTTATGCCGCCACAAAGAAGCCAGAATAGTTTTATAAAACTAGATTCATGCGATTTTTATACTCTTCCTGGAAGCCCTCGTGTACTATTGAAAATATACTCTAAGCTTTACACGCTAAACCATTCGTTTTCTTATGCGTCACTTTCAGGTTAAAGTGACGGTAGAACTGTGAGCCAATATATTTTCTGGTCGAAATGAATTGCGCCCTCTGTTGATTTTGATTTTTTTTCGGCGCAATGAACAGCGCCCTCATTATTTAACGCAATCTTCCCTCATGATCCGATGCTAGAGATCCTTGTGTCATCGCGAACCAGGCAAAAAAGTCGCCGTTTTACAGTAAAATTACATACGATAGGCGGAGTTTTGGGCAAACCATGTCCAGTTTGATGTCGTAGAGTTGACTTTAGTGTAAGGTAGGGTTGGGAGGGTTGTAACGGGGAAAGTTGAGCTGAAAATGCTTGGGTTGTTAGACCGGTTTTCATCTTACTTCCCGATCCCATATGATTAGCAGTTATGTAGGCTAGGCCTATTGGAAATTTGGAATGGGAGGGGCGGGGTAGTATAGCTGGAAAGTAGTCCGAGTAACCATGGAGGTAGGATTCTACTTCCATGGAGTAACTAGTAGTGAAATTTCTCTTTTCTTCCCAAAGGTATGTGAACCTAATCACCACCATTTATATTTTCAATTCCCACTGAAGCCTACACTTGTCTACAGCCTAGCTAGGGCATGTAGGGGCGCATGATATTGATAAGGCAGTTAATTTGAAGACTGGTTTGGGTTTTGGGGGTGAAATCTGATTCTGAAGATTTTGATTGGGCATGTTGGGGGTACGAGTGAAAATGGTCAAAAAAGATTAATTGGTGAACGCGATGTAATATATGATCTTCGGACTCTACTAACGCCCAACCATGTGTAAATGTGAAAAAGGCGATTCGTAGAGTCCTAGTTACTCGGACTAGCTAGAAGTAGAAAGATGGGAAAAATGTTGCAACCTGCTGCCACTTTTTTCTTCATATCATCTCAATAAAGGTCAGTCATTGCAAAAAATGATGATAAGACATGAATCTGGGACTGAGAAACATTTCCAATTTTGTTAGGAAATACTTACAAAATTTTCTTGACTCTCCATAGACTTTGTTCACAACCGTTGAAGTGGCGTCAGGTTGCAACTTTTTCTCTGAAACGGTACAGTTTTAATACTGCCCTTCAAAAGTAGGTTTCGAGTTCTGACATCCAACATGGCTGCCATCAGCAAACGTTGTAGTTTGTTTGTGCGCACATGGCATCCAGAAAGCTGCCTAAAGCTCTCGAAAAATTGGAGGTTAGATTACCCATAGCTCCATGGATTACCTAATCAATCCAGAGCGAAAAAGCTGAGACATCATAGAATACAAACTTACTTTCAAAGGGCAGTAAATTATACCGTTTCTCGGGAGCATCAAAGGTTAACAATTTCCCCTTACTGTGTGGCGAAGGATACAGCCCAGCACTATCTGAGCCACACTAGTGAGGCTAGGTCATGTGATTATGGGAAGATCTTACTCCCCATAATCGGTAGCGGTTACTGCTTATCTGGTCAAATTCTCCCCTTTTAACCCATATTGTTTTAATGTTAGCAACAAAAATTGCAACAAATATGGACATTAGTTCTCACAGATGAAATTATCAGAATGAAAAATCACGAGATCAAACAAAGGGGGCACTAGCAGCTTTGTTCTATCTTTAACTTCTGTTTAACTTTTTTCTTTCTGTCTGTTTTTTTTAATGATAGGTAAAATTTGTATGTTGATGCATTGAGGACAAGTACCAGCCCACCAAGATGAGTCTGACTATTGAGCAAGTATTAGACGACGCTAAGAGATTAGTTGATCGGTTACGAGACCATGACAATGCGGCCGACTCTCTCATTGAACAATCGACAACACTCAACAAGCGCATTGAAGCTATGAAACAGGTGAGAGGAAGATCAGGATTTGTTTCCTTGTTCAAATTATTTGTCCACCATTGGTATACTGCTAACGATAATTAAAAGGTTAAAAAATTTGAAAATATTCTAAGTATCACTGTATTGTATCTTGTAAACCATTTCACTTAACTCACTGTATTACAGATTCAGACCTGACGTGTTAACAATAATTTGTGAACAATAAAATCATAATGTCCAAAGCCGTCTGACTTCGGTTTTTTCACCAAAGTTTCAAAACATAAATTTGCAGACCGTACAATGTGATTTGAGAAGAAAGTATTCCAAAGGTTTCAGGTTCGAATCCAACTCGCGGTTATTTCTAAGAGCAAGTTCCATCAATAAATATCTTGGACCGTAGAACTTGACAAACTTTTATCAACAAAGATTCCTGATCCTTGAATGGTTCAGAAAAGTTCCTGACGAAAAAGCCAAGGGAGTGACATTTTGTGGAGGGAGGAAAACCGGAGAACCTGGAGAAAAACTCTCGTGGCACAGGAGAGAATCAATGAACAACTCTACTTACGTACCCCAGCTGGGATTCGAGCCCGGGCCACAGCATTGAGAGGCAAGCGCTTTACCGTTACGTACTGTGCCACCCATGCCAACCACTGGTATGTGGGTGGCAGAAACTTACCTAAAATAATATTTTTCCTTCTGTAGTACCAAGAAGAAGTTGAGGAGATGAACAACGTGGCTCGTCATCGCCCCCGATCCGCCCTCATCCTGGGCATCCAGCAGGAGAACCGACAGATCCGTGAGCTTCAACGAGAGAATCGCGAGCTACGCGTCGCGTTAGAGGAACACCAGTCAGCGCTAGATCTCATCATGAGTAGCTACCGGGAGCAAGTCTGTAAGATGCTGATGGCCAATCGATTTGACCGGGACTGCTTAGAGAAACACGCTGAGTATCACGAGGTTAGCACCAGAAAAATGCTAAGCGAATTTATTCGCTTAGCGAAAATGAGCTGGGTACCAGTCACAGGCAATATACACTGCATGACATTTTGGTCGGTAACCTAATTTTGTTAGCAGATATTTCTGTGCTTAGCAGTTTTCTGTGCTCAATGGAATTGGTCGCTGCTAAGTATAAGATAGGCCTATTGTTAAGCCATGGACATATTTGCTGAAATATTACCACATGTTCGTTGCTGACGGTTGGTTGTCTGTTGAGTTGTGCCTGGCACCTAAATTTGATTTGGTCTTGATTGTTTATATTGTGATTTCATTTTGAACCTTGTAAGTGGGAGATTTTGATGACAAGAACAATGATCTGGCAAATGCCAGAGGGAAGGGGGTTGGGGAGGGGGCTGGGAAGGGGTTTTGTGTACAACAAAAAATTACTGACTTCAATAGACATCCATTTCTGAGCAAAATTGAAATGCTGCGATTTTTTGTTTGACACTCAGAATTCCATTGCATCTACCGCCAAGATTATCGAGATGGCCGCCGTGATGAAACAAGCCATCGAACTGGAGGAAAAATCCTCCTTTGATACTGAACAGCAGCTGACAAGATTACAGGTAAGGTGGCTATTGGCTCCTTGTGTGAACAACAGAGGGCGCTATACAAATGACATGGCTACGGCTAGCAATAACACACGTGTCTATGGGAAGTGGCTGCAGCCGCTTCCATAGCCGCTGTGTGATTGCAAGCCATAGCCCAGTAATTGGACATGACCTTACAGTCTATGGCTAGATTCAAATGACATGGCTACGGCTAGCAATAACACACGTGTCTATGGGAAGCAGCTGCAGCCGCTTCCATAGCCCATCTGTAATTTCCAGCCACAGCCAAGTAATTGGACATGACCTTACAAATAGGAAAAGTTAAGTGCAGTTGGGTCATTTTATGTTGGGTCCAAAACTGTGACCTTTTTTTGAGTATCCATGTGGTAGGTAAGACATCTGCACTAGAAAGCAGGAGGTCATGGGTTCAAGTCCCACCCAGTTAGCTTGCCAATTTTGCCCACAGACCATTGGACAGCAATGAGTGTAAAATGGTTTTAAGAGCAAAAAACTCAACTTTCAAATACTGATAGGCAATTTCAGTGCTGTGTAGGTAGTGTAATGTCCGTGACAGAGTCAATTAACCATGATATCTAATTAATGATTCAGAGAAATGATCCCAAACTCCTAGTCTGTAATCTCCTTGACCATTACTAGATGATGGATGTATGGGCTCTGTGCGCCAACAAAAGAGGGCGCGTTTTTACCACTTTTGAGAGCGCCGTGGATGGGACACACAGCGTGGGCGTACTGTACTGGTTCGCGTGTGAAGTACGCACGACTTTCCGAATGTGCCAAAGCTATTAGCCTGAGCGCCTTCGCCTGAGTGTCGTCGGCGCGCAAATGCGTTCAAATTTAAGTTGTAATGGTCTCCCAGACTAATCCCCGCCCCCAATATCGTAGGATCATTTGAAATACGCAGTGGATGGACCGGGAACCAGTCTAGGTCTCCCCCAACTCTCCTTTCTGGCCGTTGAAGGGGTACTTGTCCATGGAGCCCATAAGATTTGAAAAAAAAAGACATTTTCAGGTTTAATCACTGAGCTGTCACAAGCTCTGTCACGGATGTTACATAATTCTGGAATTGCCCTGATACAATTCTGTCTCCATTGTCAGGTGGAAAATCGCGGCCTGCGGGAGTTGCTTGAGATAAGCCGAGCGGTCCACTTCCGCCACAGCCCCATCCATCATGAGGAGAAAACAGACAAAGAGAAAGACCCTACACCGCTCATCGTCAACAATGAGGGCGCTAACAACCTCCCAGACAGCAAATCCCAAACTCCGGAAAACGACCAGCTGCCCAAAACGAACAGTGGAACCGGTAGTGAGAAACTGGTTGACGAAGCTAAGGACACCAATGAAAAAAAGGAATTAATAGAAGTCGAAGACACTAGCGCGCATGGAGGTCTGAAAAGCACTGAGAACGCAACGGACGAAAAGGAGCGGGATGAGAGTGGCGATGTGAGCGCGCAGGGTGAGGGCGCTGTGGATCTGGAGGTGGAGGACGTCTTGAATGATTTCGCGGACATGACAGCGAGTCTGGATATGGGGGATGATGAGGACGAGTCGGAGGCTTAGCGGGAATGCGCAGTTGATGCTTAATAGTGGGAGTGCATAATTAATGCTTAGCGGTATCAGACGCTCACTGAGGATAATCAGGGATGCATTAAATATGCTTAGTGAAAATCAGGGCCCAATTGCATGGCTCTGTAAAACCATTAGCAAACAAAATCCCTGCTTAGGCCCCCCCAAAAAGTCTCCGGTTTCTGGTATGGAGCTTGCCCAAAAAGTGGTGCGGCGACGCGGCTGTTTTTTTTTTTACCTGATTTTTTTTGCTTCAAATGTCAGCTGATGACTGCAAATGGTGCCCGACTAAACTTAGTGCAAATATATGGAAGTCCAGAGAGGCCACATAAAGCTTATTCTCGACCATAACCCAATCTAAAAACACGTTAAAATTGTGCAGCAGCAGGATTCCAGTCAAACCAGTGAGTTTGGCGGTTTTGAGACATCATCTTTCATTGAAAAAATTTTGTTTTCATTTTGCCGACGCGCATGGCTACGGCGATGCGCGCGCATACCAGAAACCGGAGACTTTTTTGGGGGGCCTTACTGTAGCAGAAAATTCTGTGCTTACGGTAAGGGAATTCCACGTGTTAGCGACGAATTTTGGCTTCTGCGCATGCGTACATCCCAAAACTAAGGATTCTGTGCTCACAGGTTTAGCACAGAAATTTTCTTGACATTTCAACTTGGTATGTGGGTCAGTTTGGGGATTCCCCTGCGAACTATTGAATTTGAACCACATAGGTCAAAGGTCAAGGTCTAGGGTAAAGAAAACAAAAATAGTTCTGCTTCCAACTACATGGCATTTGAAAATAGCATAGATTGGGAAATTTTTTGTCGCAATTTTTGTGTGTGTACGATCATATGGAGGCGTCTTCGTGTAGTCAAGGGTAAAAGGTAAATTAGTACATGTAGTTGATGATTTTCTGGGATTTTTTCTCCATTTTTCCCCCAAAAAACTTGGGGTGGGGGTTGTCAAAATAGGGTAGGTAGGGTAACCGGAAGCAGAACTATTATTTTTTTGGCCTAGGTTGAAACTATAGAAAAGGTTATCTGAAGATTACTTACTTATGAACTGCAAACGTGGTTGGTTGTCTGGGGGTCATATTGACTTGTGAATTTAGCTTTTGTTTGTACGTGTATATTATGAGCTCTGTATTATATGTGCAGAGTCTAACGACCATTTCATGTTGTTGATCACTTTTGTAAACTGTAGATACACATCGTGTTGTGACAATGATTACTCCAGTACAAGTATTTACTATTTAACAATAAATGTTCTTTTCTAGAAAGAAGCAGAGTTGTTGCCTCTATTTTTTCCCACTTTTTTCATTGTTTGGACTTGTGAAATTACAGTGGCCAAGTTAGATGTCTTGGGTTCTACTCCAACCTACTACATTTTGTTTTTCTTAATTAATTTTTTGGTCTCATGTTCACGAGGAAATTCAATTCATGTTGGTCAAGATTGGGTGAGTTGCCTCGTGGATAAGACTCTTGACTCTGGAATTGGAGGTTGTGGGTTCAGTTCCTGCCGTGTACATTCTTTTAGGTCTCTTTTTATTGTCTATATGCCAACCTAAGGGAATAAGGAAATTCAAACTCAAATTTGTTAAGTCAGAAAAAATAGTCTAGAGTTTAATGCTCTTGACTATGATACTAGAGGTTGTTGGTTCAATTCCCAGTCAGTGCAAGAAGAGCCTTTTACAGTTAATATGTTTTTTTAAATTAAACATAAAAAAGAAAAACTCTTTCTCCAAGCTACAAGTAGTTCGTTTAGCTAGCTTATCCTGGGGTTTGATCCTGCTTGGGGGTGGTTTGCACCATCCAGCTCATCTCAACCCTAGCGACTCAACGTGCTGAGCCACTCAGGTCCCCCCCCCCCCCCCCCCACTAGGACGACACACAGATGTTATATATAAAGGTAAGATTCATACTTGGTAAATTTAGCTCACATGGGATGATTGCGCAATACTAACCAATTACCACCTTTACTACATTATATAACATTGTATTATTAACTGAAGATACGATCAAACCATAACGGGGCTCTGGCAGTTTCAGGGCGCTATAAGTGACTAAAGGTGATCGGATGCCTTATATACTACCATAGAGCTATATTAAATTACTAGAGCGCTAACTCCTTATTTTAATTCAAGGATCAATAGATGGATTGAATTTTGAAAGTGTACTCTTCATGCAACGCGCAGGTAGAACATACGCAAACAACTTAAGCGCGTCACGACAGTTCAAAAAATGTCACGTGTATACGCGCACGCGTTGCGCTGTTTGCGTAGAGCAAAATGACATGCTCATTTGCTGATCGTGCATTTCGGTTTTTGGCGTATCGGCTTCGATAACGCACCTGTATAGAATACAAATGCAGATATGCAAATAGCCGTACAAAAGCCGTACAAAATTTAGATTTTTCCATACATGTAGGTTTGTGTACAAACATGGATGCGCCCAGCAGGCATTACTTTGTACATCGAGTTAGCGCTCTAGTAATTTAATATAGCTCTATGGTTACTACAGACATCATAAGACATGAATGATATATAGGCAACACAACGGACATATAGTAAAAGGAATACAGGTGTTTATTGTACTTCAGATTAGAAATTTGCATCGTAGATCACATCTGTCAAGCAAATCATAGAATTTATAGAAATAAATTTTTTCCGAACAATTTATATGCACCATCAGTCAATCTGCACATTACATTTTCCAGACACAAAACTTTCCAAGTTTTTTCCACGTTTATAATTGTATACCAGTACACAGAGATACAGCAATTTCTTTTAGATCTGGATTAAAAAAATGAAACTTAATTATTAATCGGAATATATATATATACAAATATAGATAGTACCTTTAATCATTTGAATAAATTGCTTTTATGAGTAACAAAGCTTTGCAAATTTAATTAATTTAAAAAAATCAATCAAGTAGCGTAGGTTTCGCTGCTCACAGTTGGTTTACAATCTGAAGGGTTTTTGTGATTAGGGCTGTTCATTTCCGAATAATTTAGTATTCGATTACTGGAAACTGTGTTTGACCAAATATTCAGATATTCGAAACTGCCAGCTGCAAATGCTTGCTGCGCTGCTCAAAAGTTGCTCGCAGAGCGCGCCAGTTAAAACTTGCATGCGGCGATCGATATGGACTGTTTTGCAATAAGTATATAAATGTCAAGGGCTTTAAACTGCTAAAAGGATAGAAATAACATACAGTCATCAACAACGTCCATAAAAAAGTAGCACCTGACAATAAAACACCGCAACTTTAAGATAAAGTAGAATTACAGTCATGCAAAATTTGTTTTTGTTTTCGAACATTCAAAGCGGCAAAAAAAAAGAATGATTGAATATTCAGTATATATTCAGGACAGCCCTATTTAGTGAGGCAATGGGCTTTGGAAAAATAGACGAGACATAATGACGTCACACTTTGTTTACATGTGTGCTTTCCTATGGGAGCTTGGAGGATGTCCTCCCCGGCTCCCATAGGAAAGCGCACATGTAAACAAAGCGTGATTTCATTATGTCATACTCTTAGGTCTATTTAAAATAATTTAACATTTTGGAAGAAACCTTGCCAAACTCCTCCCAATTCCTGTAATCGTATCAACTACACTGCACATTTAATTTACAGGCATATACATGTACATGTATGATAAATTTCATAAATCACAAAGCTAACCAACCAAATTATTATCAAAAAAGCTCACATGGATTAAAGATTGTACCGGTACTAAACAACCCATGGAATGATTCCGTCTGGCTTGCTGTCATTTTAATAGAAGAAATCAAGAAATGTAGGTGATTTCCAACGATCAGTCAATTCGGGCATTTCACAATGCAGTGCGCCACCAAGAGTTTGCTATTGAGAGTCTATTTTTCAAGTTTACGGTTGACAAAACATGGCCCATTTGAATGAGTGTCATTAGACAACTTGAGCTAATTTGTTATAGATTGGGGCATAGCGTTCTGCCGCTTTATAAAAAAACACCATATTGATAATAAGAAAAGAAAAGGACAAACATACACTGGAATCATATGCTTACGAAACTACTGACCAGAAAAACAAAAATTTCAAATTCCTCCAACAATGCATTTGGGGAAAAATGAACTCTCCGTGGCAAACTCTTGGTTTACTGCATTGTTTATCGCCCGAATTGACTGATGATCGTTGGAGATAAAGAGTTATATGTATATTAACGAATCGTGTTTCGTTATCAAAAGGTTGTGCCTGGTTTCTCACTGTTTTCTCGAAAAGTGTAATATCCACTGAGCTGAAACTTCAACAGGTCAGGTTTTGGATATTTTCCTTTAGATTTTGAGTGGCATTATTGTTGGAAATGAACAAAAATTCATCCGATATGCCTCTGCAATTTGAAAATCAAATACTGACATTTACCAAAATCCTCTGTCATGCAATATTCATTGCCATTTGCCATCTCATTCATAAACAACAATGGTTACAAATTTGGCTCGAAATTTGAAGGGTTTGTTAGAGAAATGCACAGAATCGGAAATAGTTGCAAAATTATAAACCTAACGGCCAACTTCAAGGTAAACATACACTTAGATATCAAAATAATGCTTTTTGGTTAAATATCGTTTCTTACAATAGCTTTAATACATTTCGATCCTGTAAAATTATTGTTTTTAATCTGAGTATCACGCATAGTGTAATTCATTCATGTACTTACTGTAGAAAACTTACTATCATACAAAGACACCATCGCCGACAGGCTACCACTTGTCACGTCTTTTACTTGAATTTTCAATTAGCATAGATCAATATGATGTACACACTTTACATTAAACCAAATCTTGATTACTATAGCATGTAAAAATCTTTGGAATTACAGCAAAAAAAAAATACATTTAAAATTCTGTCAGATTCGTCTGTAAAAATACATTACAAAATAATTTCCTGTGGAAACATACAATTTGCATATCAATGTATACAGCATTTCAGAAAGAGTACAAAAATCATTGCCAAATATTACAAATTTAGTAATATCCCGTCCCCCCCTCAATCCCAACCCCACTCACCCCATCACCATCCAAACCCAGCAATAACCCCTACCCCAATACCCCAACCCTTACCCTCAACCCCAACCCTAACCCAAACCCCACTCTATCCCATCACCATCCAAACCCAACAATAACCCCTACCCCAATACCCCAACCCTTACCCTCAACCCCAACCCTAACCCAAACCCCACTCTATCCCATCACCATCCAAACCCAGCAATAACCCCTACCCCAATACCCCAACCCTTACCCTCAACCCCAACCCTAACCCAAACCCCACTCTATCCCATCACCATCCAAACCCAACAATAACCCCTACCCCAATACCCCAACCCTTACCCTCAACCCCAACCCTAACCCAAACCCCACTCTATCCCATCACCATCCAAACCCAACAATAACCCCTACCCCAACCCTAACCCCAGTCCCAAACCCAATTCAACCCCCTACTCCAACCCCATCCCCAAACCCAACCTACAACCCCCTAACCCACACCCCAACCCCTACTGCAACCCAAACCCCACCAGAAATATGCCACATGCACCACATTCTTCTTCAAAGCTTACATTTTCAATTGAATCTTTGAAAAAATTTGGGTAATTCATCCAAACTTTCATTCAGATTATTCCACACTATCAGGAATGTTTCAAATGGCCTAGTACCAGTCACAAGAAGTACCCATCGAGTAATACTTATTTTGGATGGTTACCTACTTTTTTTACTGTGCAAAATCAACAGGGAATCAGTGACCAACATAAGCATGACATGATATTTCAGTTTATAGCCAGCAACCTGTCTATATTGAGATCATTTTTGTGCTTATTTCAGGTTCTTTTTTGTTTGTTTATTTGTTTCGTTTGTTTACCTCGTGATGTTCAGTTTGCCATGAGTGGTGATCTTTCAGTCACATCGTCCCTTGGAAAGGTCTGTATCTGGCGCCCTCGCCTGTCGGGCTCGGTGTTACAATTCTGCTGACGCTTCTTCCACTCTCGGTAGGGGCATGCTGGGAAGGGGGTGGGGCTATGTTTAGTCAGGTGCCGTTGAAGCAGGGCGCCAGCGATGGCCGAGAGAAGCCATGCAACAAAGAGAATGATGTCTGGAAACCAAAACAAAATCACGGAGATTTAGAATCATTTCAAATATTCCTAATTCTTGACAATTTCTTCTACAGTGCCGCATTCGAGATTTTATCTTCATATTTAATACATGGCTCTGACTTGGCTGTGCATAAATTGACATAAATTAACTCCTTGCTTTTCAATTAAGCAATTCATTCGATGGATATATCCAGGTGAAAATAGTTGTAGATTCAGTTGATACGTCAGCTCGCCATCATAGAGGGCGACATTTCGAACAAGTGTTTTCCTCAACAAGGGCCAAGTTCGCGCAAGGACTATAGTTGACCAATGGTTAACTAACGTTTGCCCGAACTCTGTCTAGTCAACGGTTGTTGACTACGCTTTCGACTATTTGGAACCAGCCTACTGGGGTTGGTTGCTTCACTGGTAACCAATAGCCGCGCGCATTCATAACGCTAGCAGAGAGCCAGGATCCAGAAGTTTTGCGATGACATTTTGACCAGCGTTTGACTAGTGCGCAGGCGTAAGGTACGTCACAAATCAACCACTAGTCAACTAATGGTCCTTGCCCGAACTTGGCCCTAGATTCAATTTCATGGCTTCGTTTACTGTAATTTATGCTAATTTATGTACAGCCTCCACCCCTAGTGATTCTGTGCTTATGCAGACAAGCAACTAAGAAGTAAAAGAAAAACCTGGTAAATTGCAATCCTTACAAGACTTTATACAGCGTTTTTTTTTCTTCAATTTTTAACCCTTATTCCTGTCTGTGTGAAAAATTATTCTAAATGGATATAGTCAGGGTACCAGACTAGCTGGTTACATTCATAACCGATTGCAAACAAAATGACTAACTAATTTTGAAAAGGGTCATTTCTTTTTCCAATGATGATCGGCCAACCATATTTGGAAAAAGACAGCACACCAGGTGCCATGATTTCACAGGATGCTTGAGACTATTATTCACTTACAGTAAAGTAAGGTATTTCATAATAATTTGGAGGGTTTTTTTGGGTGTTTTTTTTGCAAATGCTGTATATTACCTTTAAGTAGCACCATTAAATTAGCCTCTGAAATTATCAAATACTCACCGATGATTTCAAACTTGATAGTGTGATGGGCCTCGGCATATTTGTCCATAATGGCTCGCCGCATGACGTTGTAGAGTAAGTAATGAAAGATACCGGTGGTGAAGTAACTGATGGTGGCTAAGACGAGATATGAGCCCCAGATAGCACTGGCGACGATACTCAACTGAAGAAGGAAAACACACAACAAAATGGAGATTTACTCAGAATGAGATATATACATTTTGAAAAAGTGAAAACTGTTCGTGGTATAACAGCTATTTCTTAGTTTTTTTTTTGCTTTATTATTCTTGAATTTTGTTTAACTACATAAAAGCTGTCGAAACTGACTTCGGGTAAAAAGGAGTGGGCGGGATTCTAAAAGGGAACAAAACGGCGTTTGTCAAGTTTGGGAAATGAAGTCTTCAAATGAATCATGACAAAATATAACTAGAGGTCTATGTCTGTTCCATGAACGTAGGGCTTATCCGCACTTTAATTTCTTGTAAACGTTTACCGCTATTCTTTTTTTTTATCCATTTGCATTTTGTTCCGGAAAAAAAAAAAAAACGAAGAAAGAAAGATTAAGATGTACCATTTCAAACAGGTGACCGGATCGCACCCGATCACCCAATAAGTATTACAACAGTTTGCAAGAGCCATGAAAAAGTAACGTTTTGTTAGTCATCATCTTCAGAGGTACAGCAAGATAACTTTTGCAATCACTTGGCATGGACCACTTAAAAGTGAAAGTTTGTTACTCACAACTTTTGGGAAGTACAGCAGAACGACAGGCACAATCAGCACTCCACAGGAGAAGCTTAGGCCGTAAATGGTGTTACTGTGAAACGTTGATAAATTCTCTGCAAACAGACCCGGGAAAAAATAATGAAACTATTAAGTGAAGGAACGTACGGTACATAGCATTAAAAGCCTGTTCATGCTCGGTGCGAGATGGCAATTTGTGACTATTTGGGAATTGCCCGCGTATGGCGCGAAGTTATTGCACAATTTTTTTTCTGAATGTGCTCAATGCCATAGCAGTTTCGCATGAGCATCAGGCATCGTCAGTATTGTGATCGAATGTCCCTCCTATTTAAAGTAAAAGTCAGGGCTGTCACAAGCCAATACAGCCCACCAGGCCAGCGTTTATCTCCGCTTTCCTTAGCATGACTGACAATATACCCCCTGGATGGGATGCCAGTCCATCGCAGGTTACTCCCCAGCTAATGCCGGTACCTATTTATACTCCTGGGTGGAGAGAGGCAAGTGGAGGTGAAGTGGCTTGCCCAAGGACACAACATACATGTATGACAAGCAGCTGGATTCGAACCCCTGACCCTCTGATCTCGAGTCACAAACCGTAATTACTTGGCCATACTCCCCACTTTCACAACCGTTGAGGGGGTGCTTGTCCACAAAGACCATATACAAGTCAACTCACCGAGCGGCGTGACAAAGAAAACGAGTGCCGAGAACAAGAAGCCGAGGTTGAGTCCAGTCAGGAGCATCGACCAGAGGTACTTGCCGAAGCGCCACCACAGTAAGAAATGAACAGCGCCCCCTAGAAGACCAAAGGCAGCTGCGATGGCACTCAAGGCTACAAAGTAGAACATATGAAATCAAGCATTGTACGGATTGTAAAAGAGAATAACAGAATGTTTGATTAAAAAAAAATAGGTAAACTATAACTAGGATTCTTACCAAAAGGACTCATAGGAACTTGAGATCCGAAGACCATGAAAGAGCCGATGAAGAGAGGCACAAATCCAAAGAAGAACACCTCTGTAATGATACAAAAAAAGGGACAACATTACATCTGAGGACTTTTGTACAGACGTCAGATCTGACTCTATGAATGAATCAATGTTTACTTCATTTTCAAGTGATAGAGACGACAGAAATTTACCGTAATTGAAGATGCGATGTCCAAATAGGCAGATGACTAGCCCTGCAAGGCCTGTGAACGTCGCGATTAAAATCACGCCAAAATCAACTGCAAAGGGGATAGATACATAGAAATGGTCAGGGGAACGAGGAATAGAAGACAATGCTCCATGTCAAACCACAATGAAATATGCACTGTCTGTACCCCAATTGTAAGCTTTAGTTTTTTTCTTTGTATGAACTACTGACAGTGACAGTTACGTATTTTTTAAAGAATGACTGACAGTGACAGTGACGTATTTTGATATGTTTCAATTACATCTTTCATTTTATAATTTCAATTTTTATATTATTGTGATTTTTGGTGGTTTTTTTATTTCTCAATCAATGAAAAGTGAGCATCTTTTGTTTGTTTTTTTTTCTAGAAAAACAGCAATTGACCTATTGCGGTAGAATCTCGTCAACGCAGCTTGTGAATTGTGTCACATTACATGATATACAAATAGACGCGGAACACGCAAAATCTGAGACAAACAAAACTTAGTGCACAAAACGTCCATAGGGTTGTCTAAGGGTGGCTAACTCACAAATGGTGATAGGTCAATTTAAAAACAAAATCTATTTTTCGGAGTGAAACTCGAATTCGGCATAGTCACAGGACTCGAATCACAAAAACAAAACACTCAAAGAGTTTTTTTGGTCTGCTTCTTACTGTCATCTTGGCATTCCAGACTGTTGTGTTTCAGCTCACATGAGTAGACTACAGCAGGTACATACGCCGCTCTGGTTCCGTACACAGGATCCGTCACGATCACGTTGTAGATAAACCCTCGACTGCGATAGTTGACCTGGTAAAACTCGGTTATGTCCGTTTTTTCGAAGGACTGAACCTGTGACAACCACCAAAGAAAGACAACAATTATAATTCTGTGTCTTCACGATTAGATTAAGTTCAAGAGCAAATACAGTGAAATCTCGATAAGTCTAATCTAAGGGGAATGGATACATATTTCGAGACACCGGAAGTTCGAGATTACGCAAAGTTCCCAATTTTTCCCAAAAGTTCCCCAAACTACCTGGAAAGCTTGTGGTCGAGTAGTAAGATGTCTGCACTAGTAAGCAGGAGGTCCTGGGTTCGGGTCCCACCCGAGCAGTTTGTGAATTTTTCCTCGCAATCTCTCAGGACAACACTGAGTATGACAACAATCTTCTCTACTTTTATTGTAGTGACTTTCTTGATAGGCTGCTATTTTAACTAAGTTTGAGTTGTTAAATGTACAAAACTTGTGTGCAACAATTTTCACCAAAAATCTGGCTTACCATTTCTCCATTCTTGATGATGTTATCAACAGTCGACATCTTCATCATTTCATTAAAAAACGACTCATTGTTGAACTGCAGCGCCCCAAGATGCAGTACGTACAGCTCGTACGTCAGCCGAAATCTCAGGGATGTGTCACCCACGTCGCAGGTTGGCAGGGCGTCGCCAAGTTTGACGCCCACATTGGCCGCAGCAAACTCTAAGAGAGTGATGTTCAGGGCACTGGTGTTGTGTAGGTGGAGGTTGGGCTCGTTCTCTAGATCAAATTCTTGGTTGCAAGCGCCAGGAATAGGAGCTGAAAGGTGATGAAATAATTTAAGAATTTGATTGGTGAACCCTTACCCTTTTCTAGTCGGAAGTCAATATTCAGGGCAATATGTGATCAAGCTAAATGAGTCGTTTGTCGACCCCAGTCAAAATTTTTTTTATTACAGATTTGAAAAGAGCACAATCTCAGCATTACTGCTGTGAAAACCGCATGCTGATACCATCTTTAGTTCAAAGATTATGGAAGTCAGAACACCAAGAGATGTGATGAAGTGATGTGATGAAGTGGCCCTATTTTGGCCAGTTATCTCCAAATGAAAATTTCTGACAAATGACTCATGTAGCTTGATCGCATCACTTATGTCAAACACTTTAAAAACGCTGCAGGTCAGGTTCAGACGAAGGGATATGAAGTGTTAAAGTAACTGTATCAACAGGGTCAATGCAGGAAAACAGGACCGCGACGAGCAGTGAAGCGTGACTGAATCCGCCTGCTTGCCCTGAGCTCAACCACTCCGATTTAGACTCGACTCACCTAACTCGCCTACAAGAAAACTCAGACTCAGACCTGTTTGAAGACTCATCAGTACTCACCCGAGCTGTCATTCGTGTTGTGGTAATAAGGCAAAGCAAACAACTGAATGGGAACGGTGAAATTCCACGACGACGTCAAGAACCACTCCACCACTGTCTGGCCTGGCTTCAGAATGGAGACCAGCCCAACATCCGAGCCATTGATAGAGTAATCCAGGGAAGGGTTCTGAGTCAGGGAGATCTGGACAGGCAAGTTGGGCGTTTGGATTGTGAAGAGTATAAATGATGTCAGCTTTGGGTCGATGTTGTCTGATTGGATTTGTAGATTTGCGTACGGTGGAAGACTGCACTGTGTTGGAGTTGATAAGTTGAGATGGAGTCGGCCATCGCTGCCAAGATCACACACTGAAGACAGGGAACAAGGGAAATTGGTCAGATTGAAATCATCTAACACCACGCAGTCTTGGTAGTGTTTCAAGTACATTTCAAAATTGTTTCTAATACACTTTGACAATGAAATACATTATAAACACTTAAAATCACATGCAGATGTTGTAGTATTGCTTTAGTTAAGGTTCAAAATGTTCAAATTACATAAACAATCCATGGTCACATCAAGATGTTATATGAATTTGCGTAAATTTCAGACAACGTGGTTGCGTCACGATGAAGTCTGGTTCCCAGTGAACCTCAGCACCTAGACCAGCCAGCCTGTCCCATAAATATGCAAGGATTTGTTTGAAAAGATTGAAGCTTTTTTAAACAAATGTACCATTGTTTTCCAAATTTTCTGTTTTCTGTCGAATATAGGCGGGCCTAGGCTAGTCCGAGTAACTTGGACCCAACTTATCACCTTTTTTAACATTTGGACATGGTCTGGCGATAGTAAGGTCCAAGCTAATACCGAGACCTAGACAACACAGTCCCAAAAACCAACATTTTCCAACAAAAAACATCAGATTTCGCCTTCAAAACGGCCTCCAAATTACTAGATATGTCACCTGAGGTACAAGTAGACATAGATGATTAAGATGGTTGTACTTAAGTTTACTTACGATCCGGAAAAAAGTGAAATTTTTCGTTCAATTCTGAAGACCCCCTCTGCCTAGGTTGTCGTTGTTGTGCTCACGTTCAAAACTGCATGATAATGGCGTCTGACCTCGACCTCATGCAAATGTCGGGACGGCGCGCTTGCGCATAATGCACTGCATGCACGGCAGATTCCCCTGCGCCGCGCCGACGACTGTTTCCTGATGTAGAGCGCCAGCCATGCGCCTGGCTAGCCAGCGCGACTCCTAGGCGTACCGCGAACTTACACAGCACTCTACATCAGGAAACAGTTGTCGGCGCGGCGCAGGGGAAGCTGCCGTGTCGTCACGACATTTGCATGAGGTCGAAGTCAGACACCATTATCATGCAGTTTTGAACGTGAGCACAACAACGACAACCTAGGCAGAGGGGGTCTTCAGAATTGAACGGAAAATTTCACTTTTTTCCGGATCGTAAGTAAACTTAAGTACAACCATCTTAATCATCTATGTCTACTTGTACCTCAGGTGACATATCTAGTAATTTGGAGGCCGTTTTGAAGGTGAAATCTGATGTTTTTTGTTGGAAAATGTTGGTTTTTGGGACTGTGTTGTCTAGGTCTCGGTATTAGCTTGGACCTTACTATCGCCAGACCATGTCCAAATGTTAAAAAAGGCGATAAGTTGGGTCCAAGTTACTCGGACTAGCCTAGGCCCGCCTATATTCGACAGAAAACAGAAAATTTGGAAAACAATGGTACATTTGTTTAAAAAAGCTTCAACAAGAAATCTGCCAAAAAGTCCATAGTCAAATTTTCTGTCAAACTCGTTTTATAACAAAAAATCTGTCAAAGTTAGCAGAAAATCGGCTAAAACGGTCACCATGGCTATGTAGGTTAAACAACTTCCTCTAATTCTAAAAACATTGAAATGTGCACTGTCAATCAGTGTCAATTGACTACTCCTAGAACTATGAGGCTCCGCGTGAGCGGAGCCTCATAGATCTAGAAGCCCGCAAAATTGTCTGCAGCACAAAACACTAATAAAGTACAAAAACGTCCATCAAAATGCAGCCATTTCACACAGAACCACTGCACAGTTTGCCCCTATACTCCGTACTTTACCTCTTGACATACTCATGTATCTTGTGCGGAACTAACATAGGTGGATTCTGTCGGTTTTTAGGCCAAAATGATGAAAAATATGCCCTTTCCGCACTGAGCCAACCTGACACTTGAAACGTGCACGCATATGATCGAGCGATGATTTTCGGTTCGCTCGGAGCGCGCCGCGGGGGGTACGGTACAAGCGAAAATGATGTGCATGCGTACAAGTGCATGTACCGTACCCCCCGCGGCACGCTCCGAGCGAACCGAAAATCATCGCTCGATCATATGCGTGCATGTTTCAAGTGTCAGGTTGGCTCAGTACGGAAAGGGCATATTTTTCATCATTTTGGCCTAAAAACCGACAGAATCCACCTATGTTAGTTCCGCACAAGATACGCGAGTATGTCAAGAGATAAAGTACGGAGTATAGGGGCAAACTGTGCAGCGGTTCTGTGTGAAATGGCTGCATTTTGATGGACGTTTTTGTACTTTATTAGTGTTTTGTGCTGCAGGCAATTTTGCGGGCTTCTTGATCTAAGAGGCTCCGCTCACGCGGAGCCTCATAGTTCTAGGAGTATCAATTGACATAGCCCGACTGCGTCTGGCCGTACAGTACTATCGCAAGCTCTGTAGTACGGCCAGACGCCCGATGCTTCCACAGAGACTGAATTTTTTGGGCCGCCGATGTAGCGATTTTGCTACATCTTTCGATCGCGATTATCTTTTCATCCAGGACACAAATTTCCAAAGTTAAGGTTCGTAGTCGTAGAGCAACTCATACCTTTTCGAAAAAACGTTCTTTGGTCTCAATATTTTCATCCATCTGGCCACAAGATGAATTTCAGTCATCAGATTCCACAAATATTGTCCCCCATGCGATCCCCCATGCGATTTCAAAATGGCGGCCGCGCTGTAATGTATGCATTATGCGAGCGCGCTTGGGCAAGATAATGAATATGCATCATAGTTTATGACGTTTGTCGGACACTCAGCGCGGCTGGCCATACAAACACGAGGTCATGAACTAAATAATGCATATTCATTATCTTGCCCAAGCGCGCTCCAATAATGCATACATTACAGCGCAGCCGCCATTTTGAAATCGCATGGGGGATCGCATGGGGGACGATATTTGTGGAATCTGATGACTGAAATTCGTCTTGTGGCCAGATGGATGAAAATATTGAGACCAAAGAACGTTTTTTCGAAAAGGTATGAGTTGCTCTACGACTACGAACCTTAACTTTGGAAATTTGTGTCCTGGATGAAAAGATAATCGCGATCGAAGGATGTAGCAAAATCGCTACATCGGCGGCCCAAAAAATTCAGTCTCTGTGGAAGCATCGGGCGTCTGGCCGTACTACAGAGCTTGCGATAGTACTGTACGGCCAGACGCAGTCGGGCTACAATTGACATTGTAAAAAAAAATTAAAAACTGCATTAACATTACAAGTTAATAATTTGTAAACTCTCAATTTCGAACACAACCAGGACCCTACCTTTGTCAAGAGATGCCACCCAAAGTACTTGAAGACATAACATAAAAGAAAAAGTTGACAAATAAGGCTTCATTTTAGGAGAACCATGGGAGCTACAACTCACACACTCGTGATTTATTTTGTTGTTTCGTTTCAGCGTTATGTTCTGTATGGCGCCCTCAATCAGTATAATTTTTGTTCACGATGCGGGCTATTATAGGGGGCGCTGTTATTATTATAGGGGGCCCCGACCAAGTTTTGACCATAGAGCTCTATGGTCAGTTTTGACCTAATTTTTCTTCATTTTTGGCTGAAATTGAGAGGTTGTTTTTTAACGGAAGATGGATAGTGCCAGTCGAAAAGGGATAAATATATTTTTTGCAAATGCGCGAATTTTTAAAAAAAAAATTCGTAGATTTATCCATCATGCGGCCGCCATTTAAATATCTGGCGGCCGCTGTGGACGGTAATTCCCCCCGTTTTAAAAAAGTGTCCGGGGGGACAGAATTACCTAGGTAAAAGTGTCCTCCCCGGCCCGTTAATTCTGTCCCCCTTCAGGTAATTCTGTCCCCTCCAGGTTTTTTTTGTTTAGTTTTGCAACGCAGAAGGCCAGTAATTCCCTATATTGTTTTAGTGAATTCATACAAGCTATACATTTTTTACTTTCTAGTCTGCTCTTCATAGAGATGAATAAATTAACTTTTTGGTCTCTTTGTGAAATGTGAACAACTGTTTCGATCGACTCGGACTTGGAGTACGGTGAAATTACAGCAAGGTCGTGCACTACAGTAGCCCTATTCTACGCCGGTGGACGCCTCATTGATATAACGCCTACTTGGATTGGTCTGCGTTCCCATCGTAGCGCGTAACGAAATTTCTCATTGGATGAATTTCCTTCGTGTAGCGGGATACACATTATACACATGCGATAAACGCTGCCACAAATCTTGCAGCATGTACTTGCGGCGATGCGCGCGCTCACGAACACGACTCGTATCACCGCATGCATGCACGGGGACACATTTACCAGGGGGACACTTTCAACATTGGGCAGGGGGACATATGTCCCCGGCCCCCTGCCCAACGTTGAAAGTGTCCCCCTGGTAAATGTGTCCCCGTGCATGTCCCCCTGCCCAACGTTGAAAGTGTCCCCCTGGTAAATGTGTCCCCGTGCATGCATGCGGTGATTTACCTAGGTAAATGTGTCCCCCCGGACAGATTTACCGGGTCACGGGCCGGTAAATTTGTCCGGGGGGACACATTTACCAGGGGGGGGGGGGGGGACAGAATTACCTGCCAGCCACTTATTTATTTTGCGGCCGCCGCTTAGCTGGTGGACGTCACTTTTCTTTATTATTTTTTACCACATCTCATCGTGATCGCATTAGTTTTAGATTCACTTTGACTTTGAGCACATTATTTTCAAATTAGAGATGATGGAAGGGGATCCCCAAGAAGCAGAGCTTGTCGAGTAGGAATAACGAGAACGTAATATATGGCTGCCGATACATAGATATTTAGCAGCCCAGCTAATTCTGGATATTATCTCATGGTGGGAGTTCACGAAGGAACACATTTGGTCAAGGAGCGCTAAAAATAAACAGAAGTTTTAATTGAGCAAATCAGGTTTTAAATTAGTACGGTCACAGAACTTAGATTTCCGCGCCTATTTTTGGAGAACATGCCGACTATACTAGTGTGATACAGATAGAAAGCTGAAATCACAAATTGCCAAAAAAAAAAAAAATACCTATTAAAGAACAATATATAAAATGATTAATTGCTGAGTAATTAATATCCAAATAAATCTGTCTGTTCATGAAAACTCGAAATCGACTTGGCGGTTGTTGCCTTATTGCGCGCAAGACAGTGGAATTGTCTCTTCGTGGAAACTCAGAATATACATGCGCGCACTGTTCTGCCCTATAGGCCCTGCTTGGTTTCTACCTGAAAACAGTATATATTTGCTTGTCATTTTTTGTTTGTAATTTCATGCTGATTTTAAACTGATTTTAACATTTTTCTTGTTAATTCTAATAATTAGTTTGTGTTTAATAATTAGTTTGTGTTTTTTCGATGGATAAATCTTTGCTTATTATTATTATTATTATTATTATATAATGGAAACTTTTTTGAAGACATGCAGAGTGGGCCTAATAATCCGTATGCTTTGAAGTGTTTTTCTATATAAGGTTAGTATACAAATAATGAATGTTTGTGAGTGCAATGGTAAGAATAATTTCACGAGGTGACAGATGAAATGTTCCATTCCACGAGGCGAAGGCTTGAGAAGTTCATGTAAGATAAATGTTTATGTTCGCATCGGGCTCCGCCAGTTCCTCGCATTTCTGGGAACCGGGAACGACAAGTCCTGTGCGATTGACCGTAGACACTGGTAGAGAACTATAGAGATCAGCCACCGTAGATACCACCCCGAGCTACTTGAAGACATAAAATGAAAGAAAAAGTAGACAAATAAGACTTCATTGAAGAACCCACGCGCGCACTTTCAGCAAAACAGACAAGACACGTGGTGGTGATCTATTTCAAAGATCATGTTGTAAAATAGCGCCCTCAATCTCAGTATGTTTTACAAATAAAGCGCGCAATAGGGGGCGCTGTTCTAAAGCGCGAATTTCTAAAACTGGAATGAGTTGTGTGAATGTGATGAAGATTAATTTTGTCCTATCAATTCATTTTTGGCTGAAATTGAGAGGTTGTTTTTCAATTCCAAATACTTGTATGCACTGTTAACATAGATGGGAATATGTCTGATAGTCGAAGATCATCCAGGTATGCTTATTTAATTACTTGGACAATTAATGTTGGACATTGTCATTGGTTATTTGGTAGCCCCATAAATGTGGCCTATTTACTGGACTGCCTCCGTAAACATAGGCCACACATCCACATGTACAAAAATCGTGTCGACGGAGCCAAATTTTGATTTTCACATTTAGGCTTACTTTGTAGGTTTTTTTTTGCTTTAGAAGCATTCTCACCCTCTATATAGGCTAATCAGAAAGTGCTGCCTCTTTCAGATGTCTAATTTTTGTGAAATTTCATGTTGAAATTTTGATACGCAAACGTCACAAACGTGTGCAAATGTATCTGGAAATTTCACGAAAAATGGACATCTGAAAAAGGCAGCACTTTCTGATTAGCCTATATAGAGGGTGAGAATGCTTCTAAAGCAAAAAAAACCTACAAAGTAAGCCTAAATGTGAAAATCAAAATTTGGCAAAGTCGACACGTTTTTGTACATGTGGATGTGTGGCCTATGTTTACGGAGGCAGTCCAGTAAATAGGCCACATTTATGGGGCTAGTTATTTGGTAGGCCTACTGGTAGATTGAACTTGAAGTAAATTTCGGGCGATCGTTAAGTGTAGGGCCCCTGTTTTGTTTTGATCAAATTAGGGAAAAAGTTCCATACTCGGACGTCACTTTTTTCAATTAATTTTCTAGCGCCAAAAGTTACATCTTTTATGGTTATTCCTCCACTTTCCCTCCTCTACTCTCACCTTCTCCTTTCCTTAATTTCTATTTATTAATCAGTCAGTTACTTCATCGGGATTCGAACCTCTGACGCTTGCTTGATACACGAGACTCTTAACCGCTAGGCCGCGCACGATCGCTGTTGCAATAATCAATCTTTGGACGTATTTGAAGTATCCATTGAAATAAACTAAATATTCATGAGAAAATAAATATTCATAATGACGTATTGCACTATCATTGGCAGGCTCATGCGACGTCATGGTTGTTGATGTCACGTGTATAACGTACCGCTGTCTTTCAGCCACTACAATAAGTTTTGACCGGCTGCTTCAAGTTAGTTCTGCACGACGTATGCATCCAAAATGTGCTCTAAAAACACATTTTGAGTAAATTTTTTTCACCTTTACACAGCTTCCTGGATTTCTCTTGGTTCAAATGACAAGGTGAGGTGACAAATAATATGTTTGGCAGCAGATAAATTGACATCCGAGTATGGAACTTTTCCCCAAATTAGAGTCAAAATGTTTTTTATTGCTCAAAAATCACCTTTACAATCAAAAACAGACTTTTCTTAATTCTAATGACACCCGTTTTGCAATTTTGAACAGATTCTTGGGGTAGGAATCACGATTTTCCTGCGCAGTTTGTGCCTTGCGATTCAGCATGCCTCACGGTACATCGCGTGGTGATCGCCATCTTTATTAATTTTCTGGTCGCGTGCTGTCGCTGCGCTGTCATCGTCATTTTACCCCCAAATTTTCCCCCCAAAAAATCAAAACCCTGCCCTCTATCTATGACATTGACATACATGACATATAGTACCTGTTTATTGAGAATGTCACCAACTAGTTTGGTCTGTTGGTAGGTCCAGTAATTTTAAAGTGGATTTTGTTCCCATATAGGAACCGGGCCCTACACTACACGATCGCCAAATTTCGTACACGCAAAGAATTGGGCTAGATTGAGGGCCGACACCCCCCCCCCCCCCAGTAAAATCCTGCATACTTGTGTAAGCCAGCGTTCGTAATAAATATTAAACTTGGCAATTATCTTATTCTTCCCTTGCAGGGCCAAGAAAACAGTGACTTATTCAGGATTTAATGAAGGGGACGATAGTGATGGTAAGAAACATTTCAAATCATATGCAAATTTTTTTTCAGTATTATGTATTACGTCCCACCTACATGTATTGCATCGCTTGAACTATAGTTGGGATGATGCAACTAGTTACAGTTAGGATCGTCCCAGCTAAAGTTAGGAATTCCCCAACAATGGTTGGGACCATAGCCATGGCCATAGTTGTGGCATAACATTAACAACACTGCAGATACATGTGTGACTGTCTGTTTATCAAATAGACATGAAACGACACAAAAATAAAAAGACACAAAGTTTTATTTACATTGCATTTATGACATTGTATTTTTGTTTTATATCTAGATGACTTTGCTCGAGCAACTCCGCCCCCCTCCAAGAGGACAAAGTTGGAGAAGAAAGACAAAGTGTCCAAGATCAAAACGGGGTCTGCCAAGACGGAAAGTAAAGAGAAGAAGTCTGAAGCATTGACAGATCACGTGAATGTTACAAGCAGGGGTCCTAGAAAAGAAAGGTAGGCCCTACACGTATCTTGCCTTGGGTTAAAACTTACGTAGCTCTCAAAAACTTAAAACTAGATTATACTTGAAATCCTCCGCACTGCTCCAGGATGTCACTGGCTCTGCCTCAACATGTCGACAGTGATTGCTGGAGGATTTTGCAGGATTGAGGCAGTGGTCACCCCTCCAAGGACCACATTCAAGAAATAACGGAGGATTTTGAGGATTGAGGCTGTATGCAATTTTTACATGGAGACAGTTGGAGGATTTTGCAGGATTGAAGTTGCATCCTAGCCAAAATGCCTAGGGAGTTAGGGTTAATTACAAAAACCACTTCACCAGCCAACTCAAATACCTTCCAAAATGCTTCCAACTGCTTTCCAACAGATTGAAATAGTCACCGAGCATTATTTTCTTCTCAGCACAGTTTTTATGAAAGATTACCAATTCACTTACTTCATTGTTTACTCAGAGTTTCTCCAGATGATAAAGTGTTCGACCGGGAGATGCAGCTAGCTCTGGAAATATCCATGCAGGCTTCCCAAGAAGCACAGACAAACGAATCAACAACAAACAAACAGACAGTCGGCAGGACGAAGGACATAGAAGCGCAGATACATACAGGTATTGAACCCTAACAAACTTAGAATTTTATTTCCTATTTGATTTTTCCAAGCTACAAGTGCTATAATTTTTCATTGTTTATTATTTATCATATTTAACAGTCCACTAGGGCTGTTCATTTTCGTATAATAGTATTCAATTACTCGAAATGAGTGGCGCCAGAGTGTTTTGCAGTAAACCGTAAAAGGGCTTAAATGTGTTAAAATGATGTGAACAATGCATCACTGTTGACAAAAAGTGGCACCTGACAATAAAACACGGCAACTTTACGATAAAATAACATTACAGTAGTGTGTATGTTAGTAGTTTTTTGTTTCGTTTTAGAATATTCAAACCGGCAAAAAAGCTATTCGAATATTCCGTTGATGATTGACCTTTTGAGTATTTGATATATTCAGGACAGCCCTACAATCCACAGCTATTGTTGAACTTAGTCATTCTGTAAAGTTAGGATCCAAAATGTGACATTTTCCTGTCCTGTTACCTTGGTACTTTGTCATTTGCCATTCAAGTATCATTAAGAATGACTTCAATTGATTTTTGTATTTGTTGGGTAGGTAGTTTGCTATTCATAATCACTCTTGGAGGATGACTGCATTGAGGAGTGCATCAGAATTATAAAATCACAGACGTTAGATGTAACAGGGACAGGAAAAAAGTGGACCTAAATTTATAGAATGACTTGGCTAGAATAAAGAAAACTGTTGTCAAAATTTTGATCTCACTTTTTACATATAATTAAAATTAAAAAAAAAAGGATCGAAAAACCAAGTTATTTTCTTGAAAATGTATTACCAATGCTGCAAACTGTCTTTTACATAACATGTTTTAAACACACTTATAAAATGTGCTTATTGTCTTTTCTTTTGGTGCAATTAAATTTCTTGCCCAAACAGGATCAACAACAAAAACACCCCTTCCTGGCAGTTCTTCTGACAACGCCCAATCAGAAGACAAAGAGAATGTGGCTGTCAAGCCGACCAGGCCATCCACCTCCTTCCCAGAGCCCAGTGATGAGATCATACTGGTAGAGAGCTTGGATGAGGATGAGGTTGCAACAGGTAGGAGAAAGAGAAAAGCGGCCAAGGATGCGGTTGCTAAGCAACGGGAGATGGCAAGTGGAGAGAGCGACAGAGTTGATGATGATGAAGATGAATTCAAAGCAGGTCATAAAACACACCATGATTTAAATAAATTGTCAAATTTTTAAACATACTTTTTCATTGAAATGTTGTGTTTCCCCCACCGATATGATTTTAAGCAATGTGTATTCAGTGATGACTTGGAGCTTGTCGAATAATAATTTACAAAATTTCTCGGGTTTATAAATATTCATGTACAAAAACCAGTATTCATATTTGGTAGAAATAAAACTGAATATTCGTGTTTGCCTCCATGGCACTGAACATTATAGCCACTTTATAAATATTCATATTTCACCGTGTCCATGCAACAAGGTCGTATCCGACTTTATTGCAGAATGGAGTTACGACCTTGTTGCAATGATGCGATAATTTGGTATCAATAGCACTGAATATTCATGAAGTATTGAATATTCATGTTGCAGACACTGGCGATGACAGCAGTTCAGATGACTATGATGCTGGCGACGGTGACAGTGATTATGAAGAATTCACCTCATCCAAGAAGACGACGAAAACAGCAAAGAGTAAAGGGAAGAGCCCAAGATCTACGGAGAGAGGCAAGAAGACTGGCGGCGGAGGAGGAACCAAGAAGACATCGGGAGACAAGAAACCTAAACCAGCGACTAAAGTCACCAAAACTACAAGTAGGCGATTCCATTATTATCAAGCAATGTTATTGTACAACTGTTTATCAATGATGAAGTAGAGGTTTTAAACTACTTTGTGTTCATAAAATAGTTTTGAAAGATAAACTTCAAACTATTTCAAATTTGTTTTTTCAAGCTCAGTCCGTATTTGGTGTCATCTAAATTTAACAAGATAATTAATGGTCGAGCCATTAAAAAATTGTAGAAATTGGAATTCCTTTCCAAAAGTGTGAGGTTTCCTTTACAAAAGAGCGAGGTTTCTTTTGCAAAAGAGTGAGGTTTCCTTTTCAACAAGAGAGGTTCCTTTGCAAAAGAGTACAATTTTCTTTATAAGAGTGAGGATTTCTTTGCAAAATAGTGAGGTTTCCTTTGCAAAAGAGTAAAATTTTCTTGATAAGGCCAACTCAAGCTTGAATTGTACAGACAAGGTGGGTACTATTTTGCTGTTTTGTGTCCTCATTATACATTGGTGTCCTCCATAATTTGCCTTGGTGCCCTCAATCATTTGCCTTGGTGCAATTTCCCATTCCTTGGTGCTCCTTGGTACAAAAATTTGAGGAGGTGCGGCAATAGAGGGTGCTGTTGTAGCTTCCGTGTTAATTTGAAAAAAAAAAAGGTTGACGCTCATGATTAAAATTTACGCGCGTGCTGACCAGAGACCGAGTATTTTTTTTTTTTGGCCTAAGGGTGAGGTTTTTTTTTTGCAAAATAGTGAGGTTTCCTTTGCAAAAGAGTAAAGTTTTGTTTAAAGTCCAACAACATGAAATGTAGTCTTGTATTTCAGTTGAATATTAAATTTTGGGTAATTTGTTTATCGTTACCAACTTCAGACTCCACACCCAAGGCATCAACCCCCGTCACACCCCTGGCCAGACGCCCACCCGCAACCGGGCCCGTCAGAGGCTTCACACCCCCAGCCATGACTGGAGTGAAGAATTCACAGCAAACAAACCAGAGGGCGCTACCGTCACCGGCCGCCGTCAGAAAACCATGGTCCTCGCCTTCCAGTGAGTACTAACAGAGAACTAAAATCATTATTAAGTTTCAACTTTTGTTACCAGTAAATTTTAAAATGTACTCAGTTGTGAATTCTGGTCGAGTTCTTTTGTTGTAAAAATTTCATTTTACCAATTTGTGATAGTCAAATCTCGACTTGGAAGCATGGTCCGGTATTCTACTTTGTTTACATCAAACCAGCTCCAAATTTTGCAGTATTTATTTATACCAGTTTTTGTTTGAGATTTCTCAAAGAGAAGAAGTAATTTTGTGAATGAATCTTAATTGAAAAACAATATATATATATTCTTATACACCGGGGGGTCATTTTTCTTTTTGCAAGAAGTTGAGAACAGTCAACGAATGTTCCTTTAGGAACGCTTTCCCTTTGGAATTAATTTCCTTACAAAATGAATTAACATTTTGTTATTTGGTTTTGCCCTTCGCCGACGTATTTTAAATGTGATTGTGAGAAAAGAAATCTCAATTACTAGGGTGGGACTTGAACCCACGACCTCCTGCTTACTAGAGCAGTTGTCTTACCACTCGACCACCGAGCTTGCTGGGGTCAGTTGGCCGGTTTGAGTCTGATATACCAGCTGGTACAGCAACCGAACTATTAATATAAGAATTATTAGTTTCTCTTCTGTTGGGCTATATTAAAGGAAAAAGTTTCCATTATTTTGATCATTCCAACTCATTTAATTATTTTAATTTATGCACAGTTTCCAGTGAGGCCAACCCTTTGGGCGGAGTCAAGTTAGTCTCTCCCGGTCAGCCGCTTCGACTCGGTCTCTCCAGAAATGTACGCATCAAACCACTGCATCCCAACGCTAAGGTGCACTGACGGCTTGAACAGAGACTAAGTGCCTGTGTGCATATATTGAAATAACTGTTGGAGATTGGTTTAATAGCAAACGGGTATCACTCAAAGAGGATACGGCTTTTGGTTACATGATACAGGTTTACGGCTTCTGACTAGCGCCCCTTGGACAAAGACATTGACAAATTGGGGAACCGCCAACATAGGGCTGGATAGCTCATTTGGTAGAGCACCGGAACGGCAATCCAGAGGTCACAGGTTCAAACCCTGCTCCAGTCAATTTCTTTGTTCAACTTTGAAAATGATAATAACAAACCTAGTCAGTTTCCTGTAGTGCTGAAATTGGTTTAATACACCTTGTTTTGCTCATAGACAATTTGTCTAGAGCTACTGAGCGTGGTAACTCTTCAAATTTGAAAAATCCCGAGATGACCGCAGAAAAATTCCCAAGATTTCCCAAGATATCAGCATTATGTTTCAAAACAGCACAGACCCTATTTGTATGTAAATGGGGATCACAAGGTGCGTCAGTTATCATTTTGCACATGCGCAATCCATACTTTAGGGTGTTCTCAATACGCAAAAAAACCTAGAGCTCAGGGAAACGTTCTCAAGCCCTGGCCTCAATTCCCAAGATCTTGGGCAAAATCCCAAGGAGTGACCACGCACATGCCGCTGTGTAGATCCGGGCCAGTTACAACTGACAACAGACGTAGATGTATACCGGAGCTTGAGGTTTGAATCCCTTTTGCAGTTTTTCCAAAACAAAAACAAAAAATTGTAAATAATTTGTACATGAAGTATTAACTTTGATAAATATACAGGAAAAGCAAACGGCAAGGAATACATTTTTTTTTCCTTGTAGCTTCATCAAGTTTTACTGTTTTCTGACCTTCAATATATTTATCGTGTATATACATAGATTTGCTTTTTAAAGGTAGTGTGTAAGATCGATTAAAAGCTTTGGGAGAAATTGTTAATTTACATGATTTATTGATAAATAATTTTCAATAGATTGATCATTAAGCCACGCCCACTACATATTCAGCCCCACCCACTGCACACTAAGCCCCACCCACTGCACACCTGGGCAACAACATGTGAGCCTCTCCAATGCCACACTGCATGTGATTGGTCAGCACACCATGGGGCGGGGCTTAATGGATTATCTATCCATCAACCTTTAAACTTCAAAATCCTCCACTGTGCAGGAACCCAGTGGCACACTCTTTGTACCTACCAAGTTTCAAGGAGCATCAAGCTCCATGTAAAGTAATATTGGCTGGGGTCTACCTTCCTCAATCCTACAAAATCCTCCACTGTGCAGAAACCCAGTGGCACACTCTTTGTACCTACCAAGTTTCAAGGAGCATCAAGCCCAATGTACAGTAATAGTAGCTGGGCTCTACCTTCCTCAATCCTACAAAATCCTCCACTGTGTAGGAACCCACTGGCAAGCTCTTTGTACCTACCAATTTTCAAGGAGCATCAAGCTCCATGTAAAGTGATAGTGGCTATTAGTTTTACCTTTCTTAATTCTTCAAAATCCTCAAAATAATTCCTGGTGGATTTAAAGGATCTGTAAGGGTTAAGGCCGGTTAATACTTCAAAACCAAAATGAACGTGAATTTGTGACGTCATGGCAAGTTTTCACGGTGCAAATTTGAAAAGTTGAACTCGGCAAATTTCACAGCTGATGTTTCGCGACTTCAAATTCAATTCACATACCTGTGAAGTCAGAACCAGTCTTCTGGGTAAATATGTAATCATTGTCATGAGGTTAAATTTTTTTCATCAGGTTTCTAAATTGGAACCATACATGTAGGTTAATCTGAGGTTTGTGTTTAATAAAGGAGGAACACTCAACTCACATATCACCTTTTCATGCTCGAGTATTTCCACAAATTATTTTGGATTCTCAGCGTTTTCAGGACTGCTTGGTAAAGGTTACAGGCATATAGGATCATTTGCTTTTCATGCATTTTGCTCGTTTCCAATAATAACACCACTGAAAATCCCAAGGAGAAAATTCAAAACCTAACCTGTTGAAGTTTCAGCTCAGTGGATATTACACTTTCTGAGAAAACAGTGAAGAGCCATACACAGCATTTTGATCACAAAACACGATTTCATGAATAAAACTCTTCATTTCCAAAAATCAGTCAATTGACTGATCGTTGGAAATCACATCTGTTTCGTGCTTTCTTTTATATGACAACATTCCAAACAGAATAATTTCAGTGTGTTTGTACCTTTAATCCAAGTAAGCTTTTTGATAATAATTTGGTGGGTTACTTTGGGAGAAATACAAATGATCCTGTATGCCTTTAAGAAACACAATTTGTAAGTGACGACCTCCAGACTACGTCGGAAAAGTCCCCCCCCCCCCTCCCACTGGTTGATGACTGTGTTTATCATGTCAAATCAACTACGCAACTCAAATTTTTCCAATAATGTTAAAATTACAAATGGTTTGTGTTTTAACTCCACCCTCAAACTCTCAAACCCCAACGGCATATTGTGTTGGAATCTGTTAGGGTGGGTACAGTACCCCTGAATTGACAGTCTTTTACATTGGGTTGGCACACCTCCAAAAGTCAGAAATATGTCTGTGCAGTTTCCCATATGGTGTTGGAATTTGCCAGGATGGGTATGGTTCCCAGTTTTGTAAATCATGCTTGGGAGTTAGGGTTAATCACAAGATGTTTCCTCCAATAGAAACCTAAAGTCACTCAAATTAAGGGACCACCATGAAAAAATTGGACTGCATTAAAATCATCAGTCAGTTGCTATCCTTACCTAAAAATCAATGTTTAAAATTATGTCACGGAAACCCTGCTCCCAAATTTGTCTGCATATGAGCAGACAAAATAAAATAATACACTACAATATTTTTTTACAAGTCTCCTTGAGCTTTAAATTAAAGCATTGTCATAGCTCTAGTTGTCCATACATTTTTTCTAAAATAATTTATGCACTGTACATCTACAATATGGAAGCACCAATCAAAAATTTCTACGGGAAAATAATCAGAAAAGGAATTGTGGTAAACTGTCTTGCCTATGGACGAAACCTTTGGATTTGGGCGGGACTTGAAGTCGTACAAGTCTAAGATAAGACCATGAATCCTAAACGTTTGGCGGGATATCGTACCATCGATCATATGCAAGAGATTGTACAGTATTCTACTGCAGCAGATGCAAAAAAATGAAATTGTTAAATAGTTAAAAAATATGACTACATGTCAGCTTTGTGCTAAACCACAAATAATCGTGGCGTAGAGCAGTTTTAAACGTCTGGTGTAAAACCAGGTTGAGGCCTGGTTGCTGACAACCGCTTAAGTTTTGGGCCATCATCGGCAACCACCCGGTTTTAAACTAGAGGTTTAAAAGGCTCTACCACAATATTATTCCCATTCACATATCCTTATTGTACCGGTTTTCGAGAGTGTAAGGATTTATTTCAAGCAAGACAAAAACACCAACATAGCCTTTGGTTTCCCAATTTTTTGGGCTGGCGGTGGAGCACGTACCGCACACACAACAAATCAACTGGTTGTTTGGTACAGAACTATGCATGTGCGTAGCTACAAGGTCAAACCTCGAAAACTTGATGTTTCGAAAACAGGTACACAGACGATATATATTTGTTGGCGCAAACTTTAAAAAGTTGATGTTTTGTCCAACAGTTTTAACCCATGTTCAGGCCACCTCTTTGGTGGGCGTGGTTTGCTCAATGTCTCATTCCCCTTATATGGAGATCGTATGAGTGCTTCTCAAGCACCCGCTTGTAGGCACGCGGTGCGTACTGTGCGCACGCGGTGCGTACTGTGCGCACGCGGTGCGTACTGTGCGCACGCGGTGCGTACTGTGCGCACGCGGTGCGTACTGTGCGCACGCGGTGCGTACTGTGCGCACGCGGTGCGTACTGTGCGCACGCGGTGCGTACTGTGCGCACGCGGTGCGTACTGTGCGCACGCGGTGCGTACTGTGCGCACGCGGTGCGTACTGTGCGCACGCGGTGCGTACTGTGCGCACGCGAAGCGTACTGTGCGCATGCGACGCAGAGTGCAGCCTCTCACGACCAGCTTTACACATCATGGCTTTAAACGGCAGTTTAAGACCACCAAGTGAGCTCTCGACCACTAGGAATAGGTACATGGTATTTATGAATATGAGATTAAAGATTAAAAAAATATACAATTATACAATCAGTTGTTTTGGTCATGTTGGTCCGTACCCCCACCAGGATGCACCCTGCTTCTTCAACACTCCCTCCTTCTGTTAAAAGAAAACAAAGACAAATTTGAGAATAGGATAAAAGGAGTTGGACCAACGAGTTCTGGGTTAATGGTTAAGGGGCCATTACCGGAGCTAAGCTGAACAAATTTGAAAGTCCAAAAATTCGCACACACACGCATACTGGAATTTGTATCCTTGTGGAGACATTTCTTTGTTCTCGTGTAGTAAAGTTTTCGAGTTTGAAAGTGTAGTTTCCAAATGCTCTTATTTTAACCAGAATTAATTTCCTTGGCTGAAATTCTGACTTAATATCCCTTTTCTAAAACTCTTCCATTTGCGATGGATCAACATACCTTGGAAATTCCTAGTTTTTGAGTAAAGTCCATATATCTATTTCGTGATAGCCTTGTGGAGACGTATTCACCTATAGAAATTGCCCTGTGGAGACCTATACAATCTTTTGTTCCCTATTGTGTGCATGTCTCCAGAGGGCACGATGTATCAGATCTACATCCCATACGTAACCAAAGTTTAACCCTCTAAGATATTCATGGATTTCAGTGTTTATTATTATCTTGTTGGGCATCTGCAAGGAGAATAAACACAAGACTGTTTATGTTATTAGTCTTTGCGATGATTATGTAACAAGCGAGATCGGTATTCCAACTGCCCATGTGCACATCAAGATTTGCCAATTTGTCTTTCGGGATAAATATTTCATCGTACGTGTGCAAAAAGCATAGCGGGGTACCAGCAAAACTGAAGAGATCCTCATTTTCTGAAGTATAACATTTTGCAAAAAAACTTTGGACAGCGAAGTGTTTTTAGGTGTCTTGTGTGTCCAAACTTTTGTGTGAACGAAAGTTCCATCTCTTTTTGAATGCACGAAAATTTGAACAGAATATAGATTGGTAACCATGTCCCCCATGGCCTTGTGTGCATTTAGCTGCCGCAGTTATCCCGAAAAATATCATCGAATCTTGCTATGCACCAGACTATTTTGGAATACCGAACTCGCTTATTAAAGAAAACATGGGACAAAAAGGGGACTATTATTAGACTTACCCCAAGGGTATTTTTTTTAATTTTAGCAAAAGAATTACTCCCTACAATACCATGAAAATGTTGCTGATTTGAACAGTGTCTTAGAACTATCCTTTCAAGAATTATTTAATTGACAATTTGAATTTTTTTTTAATAAATCCTTTTTTTTTCTTTTCTGTTTTTGACATACCTCTCTTCTGGTGAACTGCAGTATGGTTGCTATGGCACTGAACATCTGACGTCTTTTAGAATGGCTCTCAGTCTGGAAGTAACACAGCACAACGTTCTTCAAGTACTCCAAATTGGTTCCCTCCCGCGACCTTTGGAGAGAAACAACTGCATTAATTGGCTGAAAAATTGTTCTTGTAAAAAAACATGCACAAAGAAGAAGCTGATGACAGCACAGGAAAAATTAACTGCTTTTCAGTCTGACCTTTGACCGCGAAATTTTATAGCTCTGCCAACCATATAATTCCGCGCTTACGATCACCATTCTCTGCTTACCATGCCAACAGGGCTAGCAAAATAATACTGCGCTAATCCTGTAAGCACAGAATCCTTAATTACGATTTATGTACACATGCGCATAAGCTGAGATATGCTAGCCGTAAGCAAGGAATTTGCGCAAACAGCTGGGTCATAATATTTGGCCCTGAACTCTGGGTTTGACACCTGACACCCTTAATTTGACCTCTTGATTGGACCCCTGACCTCTTGATCTGACCCCCGACTTCTTGATTTGACCATGACCTCTTGATGTGACCCCTGACCTCTTGATGTGACCCCTGACCTGTTTCTCTTCCACCTCTCGGCCTCCTCCCTCAACTGATCCAACTCCTCTTCGTGCATCTGCGCGGCCATGGCGTGCTTCTCCTGCAGCTGGCGAAGGGCGCCCTCTAGCTGCTGCTTCTGTTTCTTGACGGCGGTGAGCTCCACCTCGCGACGCGCTCGCTCATCGGCAAAGTGGAGCAAGGAAGGGTTACTGCTCTGGACCTAATGAGGACAGAAAAAACGGGTTACCAACCAAAAACATCATGTGGTGTGTACTGGTTCGGACTGGTTCTCCGCTATTCATGCCTAATTAACACATAAATCGGTTTCAAGCAACTTTCTTAGAAGTTCAATGAAAGTGTATTTGGGAAAATATAAGTTACCATGGATACTTGGAGTTGTGATACTGTTTCGTCAGCCTCAGATTTAGGTCGTTCATCGCCATCTAAGAAAACATCACCAGAAGACTGTCTGGTAAGACTGTAATCACTAGGAAAAACACCAAAGAATAGTATAATTAGTTATGACCTCTAGTCTAATTAGAGATGACCTTTGACCTGTGTGAGTTAAATTGGATGGATATTTGATAAAATGACTTCTGAAAGGCATTCAGGATCATTTGCATTTCATGCATTTTATTTGTGTCCAATTATAACACCATTCAAAATCCAAAGAACGTTCAAAGCCTATTTTGTTGAAGTTTCAGCTCAGTTATTACACTTTTCAAGAAAACAGTGAAAAACCATGCACAACCTTTTGATCACGAAACACCATTTAATCCATAGCACTCAGTATTTAAGGCCAAAAAAAAGTCTCCGGTTTCTGGTATGTGCGCACATCACCGTAGCCATGCGCGTCGGCAAATTTAAAAAGTTTTTTTTTCAATGTAAGATGATGTCTCAAAACCGCCAAACTCACTGGTTTGACTGGAATCCTGCTGCTGCACAATTTTAACGTGTTTTTAGATTGGGTTATGATCGAGGATAAGCTTTATGTGGCCTCTCTGGGCTCCAATACATTTTCCACTAAATTTAGTCGGGCACCATTTACAGTCATCAGCCGACATTTGAAGGAAAAAAGTTTTTAAAAAATATTTTAAAAAAAAGCTGCGTCGCCACACCACTTTTGGGGCAAGCTCCATACCAGAAACCAGAGACTTTTTTTTTTGGCCTAATTGACTGATTGTTGGAAATCACCTACATTTCTTGATTTCATCTAATTGACAGCAAGCCAGACGGAATAATTTCACAGGGTGTTTAGTACCAGTACGATCTTTAATCCAAGTAAGGTTTTTGATAATAATCCAGGTTACTTTGGGGATAAATGCAAATGATCCTATATGCTTTTAAAGGCAACAAATTACAGAGATGATGGGAGTTACCATTCTTACCCTTGCATGTTAGCAGGTCCGCCGTATCGATGATTGAGTTGCTGTCTCAGGATGTCAATCTCTTGAGCTTTTTCAGCGAGCAGCGCCATGGTGCGGTCTCGCTGTCTGTGGATCTGCTGTTCCATGTCCGATGCACGTTGCTGCAAAGTCCAACCAGAACAATTCATACTGGTTATCTTATAATGATAATGCATACAGGGTTCCCAGCACTTTATGAAAGCAGAGTTTTCCCTGATATTTCCCTGAGGAATGTCAAAACTTTCCAGTAATATTTTCACTTTAACTCTTTCAGTGCCAAAGTCGTACATGTACGAGCTATATTTGTTAGTTCGAAATTGCCAACCTCGTACATGTACGACGTAATGTTCGTACTTAAAATCGCCAAACCTCGTACACGTACGAGGTAGAGTAAGCATGTTATCACAAGGGGGCGCTTTCGCTCTTTCTAATAATATCATTTACATTCAGGTACGACCTGTATTTATTTGTTTCATTTGAGTTCTTGCGAGAGGGCGCAGCACTGACACTCGTATTTTCTGCAAAAAGTGCGGAATTCCCCTGTGTGCAGGACAGTGTTTCAGGGTGTAGCACTATGTACGTGACTTCTATTGACTTTCCAATATACCAAGGATATACCAGAGAGCAACAACAACAAATTTAGTGAGTAAAACTTATTTCCTTTTTTTTTTTACAGAATTGTGAACAATTAAACAAAAACGCTCGAAGTAGGGCACTTTAGGGTTAAACTTTTCAAATTTCGCGGGCACTGAAAGAGTTAACGAGGTTGTTACTGTCTCTAGAGGTGTGAGTACACTGCATTTTACCTAACAAGCCACCATAGCCAGTCAGTCAATGGACGCAACTTGAAAATATGGCACAAGACGCACATACGCCTGGCATTGGTGCGTCTGTTATTGGTTCCCTATAACAGCAACCATCTCTGTCTTCACAGGTATAAATTTATTTTTTTTGCTTCTAAGTTGATTTTACAATGAAAAAAATGTGGCTGTGGCACAATTTAACTTGCATAAATGGTTATACTGATATTTATATATCAATTATGGCCTTGTGGCATTTTACCTTGTATTCAGATTCGGCCTGGCTTAAGGCTGCGCGATGTTGCTCCTTCAGTTTGAAGATTTTATCCTCGTAGTTGGTGACCTGAGTTGAGATGACATATGATAAAACCATGCTCAAAAGCTTTATTGAAAAATTACTTTGTTTTTATAAAGATGTGTTTCCCACGTTTTTTTCAAGTTTAATCCCGAAAAATAGATTCCTTTTCTAAATTGCCCTTTTTCTAGCAAAACATAAGTTGTGTACTTTTGACTGAGAAATCCAGAAATGAGACGTGCACCAGTGATCAACTTATGCCAGTCCATATGTGTTTTATAACGCACCTCTGTCCAAAATATAAAATAAGAATATAAAGTTTTCAGGGCCTTATAATTTCACTGTTTTAATTCATCAATTAACTCATAAGTCCCTCGGAGTTAAACCAACTGGTTCTTCTCAGAACCACACAACTCACTAAGAGATATCATTCACACGTGTCTTAATGCAAACCTCCAATTCATTGATCATGTCCACAATGTCCACCACGCAAACCTTTAAGTCTCATTTAACTAACAAGCAATTTAACAATAAGCAATTAAACACAATACATGGACTTTGAAACAGAGGGCGCTTGTAACCAGTCAAACATTTTGAGTATAGTACCCGATCAGGCACTATACTCCAGAAATTATGCGCGGGCGGTGTCTTGACGCGTGTCTAGTTCACTAGCCTATATTAGTGAACCTCACGTGACCGTGTTTCAGCCAACCAGGATAAAGAACCAGCAAGAGGTGTGTTATAATAAACATTATATCACATACAACATATAAACATGCACATTCGAAGCGTTGGACCCTTATATTTGTATAATTTGTATATTTCATGTCACACGTGTTGGTAAGCAGTTCGCAACAACTTTCAATGTCTTGTTTTTTAATCGACTAGTGAATAAATATATAGAATTGTGTCTTACCGTTTGTTTGTGGCTAGCTTCCTCGTCATCTAGTTGTTGTCTTAAGACAGAGATGCGATCTCTCATCTCGGTGAGTTGAGTCTGTAAGGCCTCAATCTCCTTGTTACTTGAAGTGTCCTGGAAAAGAAGAGAAAAATATATCTGCTGTTTTAGTTTGTTAGTATTGAGACGGAGACGAAAACAAATGTGAAGAACTTCAATTTCCGAGTTTGAAAGTTAATCACACGATGCCATTCACAAATCAACCACAAGTCAATTACAAGACATCATGGGGAGTCAGGTTGGCGTAGCAGTTCTAGCCTCTGTGGCATTGTTCAATGGGACTAGCTCTCATTGTTTCAGAATTGGCCGTTTATGCCCTGGTGTTGATGGCTCAATGCAGCAAGGTCCCACAGACTTTTACACCTGATGCACTGTGCTACGTCTTGTAGGGTTAGCATTACTGTCAAAATGTAAGACCAAGTTTGTGTCTTTACAGGGTCAGTTGCATGTCTGTCAGTCACTCTGTTTTTCTGTATGTAGATTTGTTTGTGCCTCATTTTCTTCCTATGTTTGTGCCACAGTTGTATCCTACAGCAGTTGGTGACCGCAGAATCTGAGGCAGTTTGGCCCATAGAGCTATATTAAATTACTAGAGCGCTAACTCGATTTACAAAGTAATGCCTGATGGGCGCATCCATGTTTGTACACAAACCTATGGAAAACTCGAAATTGTGTACGGCTTTTGTACGGCTATTTGCATATCTGCATTTGTATTCCATACTGGTGCGTTATCGAAGCCGATACGCCAAAAACCGAAACGCAAGATCAGCAAATAAGCATGTCATTTTGCTCTACGCAAACAGCGCAACGTGTGCGCGTCCCTCCGCTGCAGATGCTTTTCGCCGTGCCATTTTTTGAACGGTCATGACGCGCTTAAGTTGTTTGTGTATCTTCTACTTGCGTGTTGCATTTAGAGTACACTTTTAAAGTTCAATACATCTATTTTGAATGTGTTCTACAAACACGCACATAAATTCAAAATGTCTGCGCCCAGAGTGGCTTCAAAGCGTTTCCGCGCACAAGAATGAGGAGTTAGCGGTCTAGTAATTTAATATAGCTCTATGGTTTGGCCTCAAGTTTTTTACCCGATGGATCTTGCTACACTGGGCAGACTTGTCATTTTGACAAGTGCTACATGTTGTCTTCAGTGGCAGTGGGGTTAGGGTTAAGATAAACAGGCCGACACACAGACCAACAAGCAACTGACCTTGACTGATTTGTTCTTGAGCACGCCCTGAGCCCTCAGCTTGTATCTCTCAAACTCACAGACAGACAAGCAGACACACAGACCAACAAGCAACTGACCTTGACTGATTTGTTCTTGAGCACACCCTGGGCCCTCAGCTTGTATCTCTCAAACTCACAGACAGACAAGCAGACACACAGACCAACAAGCAACTGACCTTGACTGATTTGTTCTTGAGCACGCCCTGAGCCCTCAGCTTGTATCTCTCAAACTCACAGACAGACAAGCAGACACACAGACCAACAAGCAACTGACCTTGACTGATTTGTTCTTGAGCACACCCTGGGCCCTCAGCTAGTATCTCTCAAACTCACAGACAGACAAGCAGACATGCAGACCAACTAGCAACTGACCTTGACTGATTTATTCTTGAGCACGCCCTGGACCCTCAGCTTGTATCTCTCAAACTCACAGACAGATAAGCAGACACACAGACCAACAAGCAACTGACCTTGACTGATTTGTTCTTGAGCACGCCCTGGGCCCTCAGCTTGTATCTCTCAAACTCACAGACAAGCAGACACACAGACCAACTAGCAACTGACCTTGACTGATTTGTTCTTGAGCACGCCCTGAGCCCTCAGCTTGTATCTCTCAAACTCATCTTTGAGTTGTTTCAGTTCTTGTTGGCAGCTCCGATGGTCAGGATGGATTTCAAGACTTGTGTGGTCTTCAATATTACAAATGTCTTCAAGATGGAAACAAAGACGAGATGAAGAAGTCAAAGATGAGGTGTTAGGCTTAGGTGACTATTCAAGAATCCAGTAGAAATGGTTCTCAAGTCAGAATTGGATTATGACAAAAATTCAGAAATCAATTCATTCTGGGAGGTATTGGATCCTACAGATGTAATAAACAGCGTATGATAAAACACAAGAGATAATGTTTCATCTATGAAAACTGCGATGTTGGAACAAATTGTAAGCAGTAAAAAAATGTACATTTAGGAAAATGATTACGCCTCGTATTAAACTTGTATATGTAATGCACATCTCAAGCTCATTTGTGGACTTTGAATGAACTTTTCTCACTTTTTGCTTCTGAAGTTTTAAAGCCAAACAAAATTCCAGTTAATCTGGGTGAGATTTCAACTTACCGTCGATATCGACTGGTTTCTCTGATTTCTGATTGGCCAGTTTCAGCAGTCCTTTCAGCGTTGTGATCTTCTCAGTCAGTTCCGACACAGTCGCGTCAGGATTCACAATCTCCTCTGATTGGTTGGTTTGGGATTTGTTGATGGCCTGAGCGAGGGCGGTGTTTTCCAGATCCAGTTGCGTGATACGTTCTTTTAGTCTCCTAAGAGCAAAACAACAAATAAGAGGGACAAAATGAAATGGTAATTTCGCTCTAAAATCACATTTGTTTTTAATCAGATTTTTGTGGGAAAACAAGATTTCTTTTGACATTTTTTTCATTATACAGCAAAAAAAATCTATTGAACTTTCTCGTAGTAACATTTACTTCATTCCAACTTGTGAAGTGGCCGGGAATATTGAAACAAACATAAAAACTTTGATCAAATGATGATTTGGCTATTTCTTGTAACTTTTACGGGTAAACTTACTGTTTAACACATAAGTATATTAACTTCCAAACTAGTTCATTTTCTCCAACTACAACTAGTTAACTTATAGGTTGATCTTGTCGCTTAACCCCGTTATAGTTACCAACCACCTCGGATAACTAGGCTAGTTTATTCTCTATTGTTGCTAATTTCTCTTTTAACCCTGCATAAGAAGTTCATTTTCTTTAACATTAACTAGTTAACTTACAGTATAGCCTGTTCATCTTGTTGCTTAACCCTGTCATAGTTTCCAACCACTTCAGATAAATCGGCTAGTTTACTCTCCAGCATTGCTACTCTCTCTTAAACCCTGCATAACTAGTTCATTTTCTATAACTGTAACTAGTTGACTTACTGTATAGCTTGTTGATCTTGCTGTTTAACCCTGTCATAGTTCCCAACCACCTCAGATAACTCGGCTAGTTTACTCTCCAGTGTCGCGACTCTCTCTTCCTCTGCCTCACGTAATTGTCTCAAGACTTCTTTGGATTCCTTGGCTTTCTGTTGCTCTGCTTCCACCTGTATCCTGTGCTGTGCCTGGATGCAAGAGGAGATTGCAATACAACGATAAGATCTTGTAAGATATTATCTTACGGGGAGTCATGTTGGCGTAGTGTTACTTTCCTCGCCTTCCAATGCTGCAACCCGGGTTCGCATCCCGCCTGGGCCAACATGTGGACTGGGTTTTCAGTCCCTACCTGATTCCGAGGGTTTTCCTCAGAAGATTCTTCTGGGGTTCTCCCCCACCTCTAAAACTTCTTCTCATTGTCTTCTCTCTACAGGTTTCTTCAGGCTTTCGAGCTACAGTACCTGGGGCACTTTTGAGGAATCTTTGGTTTTAATACCAGAAATAAAAATTAATAACAATAATAATAATATTGACTGAGGTACCAGTTATGGTATAAGGGTTCTCAGCACGTTATGAAAACAAAAATTCCCTGAGTTTTCCCTGACATTTCCCCGAGAAATTTCCAAAATTCCATGAGAAAACGTTTTCACTTTAACCAGTTCTTATTTGAATGTGTTAACACGATCTGGCTGTTTTTATACACAGGCACGGCTGACGGGTTAAAGCGTCAAGCGTGCCTCGACTCGCCCCCAGGTGATGTCTAAACACGCTAATTAAATCCCCAATTTGTTTTGAACACACACAAAGTCCGAGAAGACTATGGAGGCGTACCTTGTGTTGACATTGAACAAGGCCGCTGTGCATGGCCTATTGTTCGACAATTTATGTTCCAGTGCACACCTCAGATTATTAAAACATATGAGGTTTCGGCAAGAAACATTGTACAAATACTGTTGAAATGACTCTCGCGAATCAGTGCTTGTGACGTTTGGCTGTATATCAGAAGTTTTGCCTTTTTGAAAATCAAAATTTTCTACAAAAATAAACCCGTCCTGAAGTGGTTAAGGAGGATGCTGGGAAGTTAACAAAAACCTTCCTTCTTCTGGGTCACTTTCAAATTCCAGGAGTTTCCCCCGATTTATGGTATTTTGCTTAAACACACAGACAAATTGTGCAGGGATTTGAAATGTTATCCATACTCCACAGAAGTTACCTCAAAGGAATTTGAAGTGTGTGTGCCAACTCTATGGGAAAAAGTGGTTTTGCAAAACTTGAAGGGTTGTGAAGTGCAGAAGACTAGAAGGTTTATAAGAAGTTGTTTTTTTAATTCCCACCTTCATTTCAGCCATTTCTTTCTGTAGTTGCACTAATAGCGGTGACGGTCGCGACGCCTTCTGCTCTGCTGCCCTCAGCTGACTCCGGACGGCTTCCAGATCGCGGTTCAGGTTCCTTACGTGTTCCTCATAGGCTGCAGATCTGGGAATGACAAGCAGATCATGTTTGAATTGTTCACAGTATCAACAATACTAACAATGAGTCCCATGTGTATCTGCACTATCGGCACAAAAATGTGAAAAATCATTGAGAGATCATCAGCACCATTTTCACTGTGGGTTCATAATTTTTTGAAAATACCATGGGTTTGTACATACAGGGCGAGTCAAATAAAACGGAACACAAACCCCAACAAATTTATTTCATATTTAAACAAATATGTAGCACAAAACATAATATTGACTGGAAAGCCAATTTCATAAGCTACTTTCAGAGAAATAAATTACTGACATTGCTCAATTCATTCAAAGAATATCACCATTTAAACACAATGACCCTAAACCTGTCTCGTCCAAAAAAAAAAAGCAAGTTTGTTGTGTATTCTGACTGTTTGGAACAACAAAGAAAATGACACAGAATACTTGTTTCAACAACTGTCAACAACTGTAGTACACAATATCTTTATTAACAACCCTGGTTAGGCAAACGATATGATTTATAAAATCCACTTTTTTTTTTAAAGACGGGCCTTCAAAAGGACTTTGTCTAATATGTTTAACTTTCAAACTGAGGTTTTATCGCTGGTGATGTTTGAAGACAATAGTGACGACGATTCTTAAAATCGCATTTTTTGGACGAAAGACGTTTTATGGTCATTGTGTTTCAACAGTGATCTTATTTGAACGGATTGAGCAATTTCAGTATTTTTTCATCTAAAAGTAGCTGAATAGGGGTAGGGGTAGGGGTGGGAGGGAGGGAGGGGGGGGGGGTTGCGGAGGTTGAAATTGTGTGAATGTTTTTGTTCAAGCTTGTATTGTATTCTAGGTACTTACTTATCAGGCTGTGATTTTGCAATAGCAAGACCGTCCTCCAAATCCCCAAGCTGTTAACAACATAAAACAACTTGTAATCAATGATTCAATTCATTAATATGAACCCTACCCCGAGGGCATTTTGTTGGGAACCATACTCATTCCTTCGCTGTCAACTTCCATTGTAATGCAGGAAAACAAACGGCACATTCTCTGTATTTCCACATTCAAATAAACTGATGGAGATTTTGAGACATCCGGGTGATGTAAATTCAAAAAAATATTGAAACAAGACAACTGGACTCGAGCTAATAACGGATAGAGAACAGTTTCATGACATGTCTTGGTCACTTCCTCACCTCAAAATGGGCAGCGGGAAAGGACAAGTGCCTGAAGAGGCAATGCGATCATCCTTCCATTGTTTTGTGGATCAACGGAGGCAATGCGATGGTCCCTTCTATTGTTTTGTGGATCAATGCAGCTAGTATACAGGAGTTTTGATTATTCATTATTAAAACTCCTGGTGGGTTTTGAAGGGATCTGGGAGAATAATATACAAATATTGACTGCTTCGAGTGGTGTAGTAAAACTAGCCTCCTGAGGTGATCCATGTAGAATTCTATTTGTCCCAAGGCAAAGCCGAGGGAAAATAGAATGCTCCATCGATCAACGAGGGAGGCTACTTTTACTACACCACGAGACAAAGCAGTCAATATTTGTTTTATAACACCTCTCCCACAGATTCTGCTTGATTTGAAGCAATAACTGATTAATTGAATCTAAATACAATAAAAGTGTATTTCAATTTGAATACGAAAGTAGCTGAAAATTTACTTGCACTTTTCCAAACTACCCTTTCACGAAACGTTTGAAGCCAGCTCTGTCGCGCTAGCGCTTGGGAACAATACGCGCAACGCGCACACCCGTAAATACATTTGCACACAGTACCGGTTCTTACGCAGAGCGCTCTGCAAGTTTTTACGAGTATAGTACTTTGGTTGCAATGGGTATAGTACTTTTGGCCGCGCACAGCAAGATAGCAAAAATAGTGAATGCCACGTGACTCACTCTCGGCCAATCAACATACAGAATCTGTGGATGAGGTGTTATAAAGGTAAGGAGAATCTTTAACCCTAACCGCCCTGAATCCTCCAAAATCCTTTTTGCAAATTGGAGGAATTTGCAGGATTGAGGTTACATGGCAAAAGTGCGTTGCTGATTTCGGAGTACGCACTGTGTCAAGGTCTTGGGCCGGACCTTGTGTTGTTTATGCTCAGCCGTGCATAAATTTAGCCCTTGATTATACTTGACATCCTCCGCACTGCTCCAGGATGTCACTGCCTCTGCCTCAGCCTATTGACAGTCATACCCGGAGGATTTTGCAGGATGCAGGCTGTGGTCACCCCTCCATGGACCATATTCAAGAAATAACGGAGGAATTTGCAGGATTGAGGCTATATGCTATTTTTCCATGAGGCCAATTGGAGGATTTTGCAGGATTGAGGCTACATCCTAGCAAAAAGGCCTATGGAGTTAGGGTTGAATTTGTATTGCTTTGATTGTCACTGTTATTCTAGAATGATTTCAGTGTCACCTTGTTCTCTAGTCGTTCTTTGTCGTTTCGTTCCTGCGCCAGTAGCGTCTGTAGCTCCCTAATCATGACAGCGTGATCTATCTGCTCTTGCTCACGTTCTTGCTGTTGCAGTCTCGATTTGTTCCGCGCCTGTAGAAACAAAAATTGACAGCTCTGACAACATCTGAAGACAGTTTGTCTCCATGGCAAAACAAAATTGAAATTCACCAAACCATCTTCTCCTGTTATGTTGGTGGCTAAATCCAAGAATTTGTGCATGCTATGTCCCATACCTAACAAATGTTTAGCCTTCTTAAAGACATTCATGAGTTTCTGAGTTTTATTTTTATTCTACTGTTAAGCATCTGCAAGGAGAATACCCACAGGATTTTTTTATGCTAACAATCCTTGTGATGATTATGTTATTAAAAAAAACAAACATGGTGTTACGTATGGGACAAAAAGTGGACCTTTTCTTGGACTTCTCCTGCAACCAAGTCCATTACCATTTTTTGATAATCAAGGGAATTATATTTTTCAAAAACCTGCTGATTCTTTTCAACAAATTGTTTAGGTATTTCAGAAGGAAAGCGAGTTTAATTTTGACAATATACTGCTGAAATTGTGAGTTTCAAATTTATATTTGTCTAAATGTTGGAGGACACAAGACAGACAGACAATCATTGAGATGGAAGGACAAACAGAAATAATTAACAAACAATACGACCAAGTGACTGGCATTTTTGCTCTTGCTTTAGTCACAATGAAAACTGGTAAACAGCCAGATAGGCAAACAGTCTAACCACCTTACAAACAGTTAAACAAAAACAGAAAAACAGCACAACAGTGGGACAAACAGACAAATCATATTACTTCAGTCAGTTGCTCCTGTAGTGCGGTCTTGGCCTCCTCAAACTGCTCTTTGCCTTCCTGATGCTGCCTCAGCGATTCCTCAAACTCTTGCTACAAGACATAAAGGTTATTCAGAAATATATTTTAAACAGGGAAAAAACTGACAAATCTCAATTTATTTTCAAGAACTGATGGCGATAAGGGAAAGATATTTTACTACTGATGAACTCAAGACACTGATGGTGGAAGGGCACATGTGGCGTGTCCGTGATCTTGCCCGACGCAAATGCAAGTTGTAGTCGATCGACGATGATGATGATGATTTTACTATACAGTGGAGGCAGATCAATTACATTGAATTTTGTTAATTTTGCAGAAAATCACAGATCACCATAGCAACTGGGTAAAAACTTAACAAAATAATAAAAGTAAAGCCTTACTATTACTCAGAAATGAAATCTGGCCTTTTATTTGGTCCTACCCTGATTTTCTTCTTGTCGGCTTGGAAGCTAGCCTCCATCTTGGATTTCTGCGCGGTCACGGTTGCTAGGGCAGTAGTGAGCGTGCTCAGTTGCTCCTTGAGCTGGTGGAAGTTCACATTTTCCTCTTTCTCAGTGGATTCCGTGTCTGAAGCCTCTTTACTCTGAAACATAAACAATGATAATCAGCTATTGAAATATATGATTAAATAAACCTAATTCAGAATTCTGAGCAAAGAATATTTGAAAATAAAAGAAAGTTTTCCCTGTCCCTGTTACATCTGACATCTATGATTGTATAATTCTGATGCACTCCTTAATGCAGTCATCCTCCAAGAGTGATTATGAATAGCAAAGTATCTACCAACAAATGAAAAATAATTTGAAGTCATTCTTAATGATAATTGAATGGTAAATTACAAAGTACCAAGGTAACAGGGACGGGGAAAATGTCACACTTTGGACCCTGAATTTACAGAATAACCGGTATGCAGGGTTTGATTTTAGCGGTAGCCCGCTAGCCAAATGCTAGTCAAAACAGCGACAGGCTAGTCAAACTTTTCCTTAAGTAGCCCGGCTGGCAAGTCCAAAATTATTGGGCTACAGTAAAGATGAAAAGACAGGAAGAAATAAATCAGTAAAATTCAGAAAGGATACCTGTATCAATTTGTGTTTAATTTTATTAACTGTTTAGGGTTGAATTATTAGATCTGTTTATTAAAAACACTGACAAGATTGCCCCATGTTTTACATGTACACACAATGTTGTTTATGAGACACTCTATAAAAGAAAAACATGTGGCTAGTGAAAATGCCCGCTGGCTAGTTGAGAGTCTGTTTCAGTAGCCCGGCTGGCTAGTGAAAAAAACGTTACGGTCGAACCCTGCCCATATGTAAACCTTAGGCACATGTGCAATACTCTTCACAGAATAGGCCAGATGGTACCATGTACGCTTCCTGAAGAGATACTTCCTGGCCATAACAGACTTTAACTTCTCAACTTCTTAAAAAGAAATCTTACCTCATCTCTTGTGCTTTGAGAGTCGACTGATTCATTATCGTCGTCTTTTCTCGCCTCCCCCTCTCTGTCACTCCTCTGCCCCTGGGGCTTAGCGCTCTGGGGTGTGCTGACCGGTTTCTGTGGGGATGTGGCACTCAGGGCTTGCACGCTGGCTTCCAAAGCCTCCTTTTCTTTGCTTAGGTTTTTGTAAGCTTGGACGACATCTGTAATGAACAATGAGGTACCTCATTGGAACATCGTTTCAAAAACGTGCAATATCCTAGTTAATGTCACGCTGCTGCTGAGTGCATGTATTTGCTAAGTAAGCACAGTAGAAACTATTTGCTTATTAAAAACGACTTTGTAACCCTCCTAGTGGGAAGTCAACAGTGTTGTAGTTCTTGTACTCGATACTCGTACTCCTTGAGTACTTTTTTAGTAGTACTCGTACTTGTACTCATATGTCAAAGTACTCGTACTCGAAATAAGGGTACTCGTACTCGGGCAGCAAAGTACTCGTACTCGAATAGCAGTACTCGGGGGGAAAAATGGTACAGCTTGACTTACCAAGGCCTTATTTTATCAGTTTGAATGGTTGATTGGCTTGTGGAGAAATCAAAGTTTCATGATTTTTCTCTGTGCATGTCCGGACAAACACAGCTAGCCGTGAGTGGGTCTGTATATCGGTCTGACTGGGCCTGGGCCAATTATGCACAATGAGCCATTTGCCGTATGGCCGTATTCGGAAATAGAAGTACTCGTCGTTATTACAAGTACTCGTACTTGGAGACCTGTTCTTGTACTCGGAGGTACAAGTACTCGTACTCGTATTCGGCAACCTAATTACTCAGCAGTACTTGGTACTCGGAAAAAAGTACATGTACTCGACTACAACACTGGAAGTCGATATGCAGACAATACGTAAAACCCTTTACAACCATGCAGGTCAGTTTCAAGTGAGGGGATACATTGTATTAAGTGATAAAGTATTAAAGTGTGTCACACAGAGAGTCACTGCACAAAAAACAGCATTGTGGAGAGCAGTGAAGCGTGACTGAACCCCCCCCCCCCCATGCTTGTCCAGACTAGAGCTTTATAACAATAACAACACAAAACAAGTCAGGTGTGTTTACAAACACAAATGCCCCGCAACGGTGACAGTTCCCATGACATAACACCACTCTTTTAACATCAACTTACATGTACCTTGGTCACATGGAACATTCATTGACAGCATTAGTGTCTTCTGTAGGTTTTATATGAATTAATCCCTAATCCCTATAATCTCAGAATAAATACATGATTTCTATTGTTTTAGCCCTTGTGAACTTGACCCTTGACCTTTTGGCCCCAAATTCAATAGGCTTCTTAGGATTACCAAGAACAATCCACAAACCAAATTTGAAGTTCATATGTTAAGTATTTCTCAAGTTATCGCGCTGACAAGATTTCTATTGTTTTAGCCACTGTGAACTTGACCCTTGATCTCTTGGCCCCAAATGCAATAGGCTTCTTAGGATTGCCAAGAACAATCCACAAACCAAATTTGAAGTTCACATGTAAAGTATTTCTCAAGTTATCGCGCTGACAAGATTTCTATTGTTTTAGCCACTGTGAACTTGACCTTAGGCCTTTTGGCCCCAAATGCAAAAGGCTTCTTAGGATTGCCAAAAACAATCCACAAACCAAATTTGAAGTTCACATGTAAAGTATTTCTCAAGTTATCGCGCTGACAAGATTTCTATTGTTTTAGCCACTGTGAACTTGACCTTTGGCCTTTTGGCCCCAAATGCAAAAGGCTTCTTAGGATTACCAAGAACAATCCACAAACCAAATTTGAAGTTCATATGTTAATTATTTCTCAAGTTATCGCGCTGACAAGATTTCTATTGTTTTAGCCACTGTGAACTTGACCTTTGGCCTTTTGGCCTCAAATGCAAAAGGCTTCTTAAAATTACCAAGAACAATCCACAAACCAAATTTGAAGTTCATATGTTAAGTATTTCTCAAGTTATCGTGCTGACAAGATTTCTATTGTTTTAGCCACTGTGAACTTGACCTTTGGCCTTTTGGCCCCAAATGCAAAAGGCTTCTTAGGATTACCAAGAACAATCCACAAACCAAATTTGAAGTTCATATGTTAAGTATTTCTCAAGTTATCGCGCTGACAAGATTTGTCCGGACACACACACACACCCACCCACCCACCCACCCATACTTGTTTCACATGACTAGTGTGGACTTTCCATTGCTTTCGTGTAGTTAAGAAAAACCAGTGAAAAAACTCATTTTTCTCAAACTGTGAAAACTCTTTCAACCCAATTTTTTTTCTATGATTCCCTTTAGTGTTTCTCTTCATTCTGCTACAGATAAACCTAACCCAAAAATGCCTCTAAACCTGTTTTCCAGAAATGGGGAAACACTGTGTGGACGTGGGCAAGTCCACACAACGTCGGTGCTACCTACATTATGTGGACGTCTTTTGTTCGGAAGTCCACACTGCGTATGTAAGACAAGCTCACCCACCCACCCATACACCCACCCAGACACCCACCCACGGAAGGACAAGGCGGAAACAGTATGCCCCTTCGGCTTCGCCGCGGGGCATAAAAATTGTGTAAGGATTTGAAGTGTTATCCATGCCAATTCCCATGAAATGTTTTAGGCAAAATCTGAATTGCAAAAGATGAGGTGGGTTGAACCAAAATTTATGCCGGCAAAAAGTTGACGATTGAAAGATTGATCATCAACTTATTTGATTCCTGTCTCCGAACAAAAGTTTCAATTTTTTTCTCAACTTATGTCAAATCTGTATATTGATCAATTAAACATCTGAATAATCAATACCTGATCTATTGATTGATTGACTGAATGATGAATCTTACCTCTTAACCGACTCTCATATCTGCTGAGCTGATCTTTCTGTTTCTCGATTGTCTCCAGGAGATCTTTGCGGGTTCCACGATCCATTTGGAGACTTGATCAATGATCATATAACTAAAGCAAAGGGCGACAAAACAACTGAAATGAGCCTGTACCTCAGGTGGCGTATACATCTAGTAGTTCTGTGCCCGTTTTGAGGGTGAAATCCTGATGTTTTTGTTGGGTCGTTTGGACAAATGTTAAAAATGTTCATTTGTGTCAAGTGATGGCAGCCAAACCATGTCCCAATGTTAGAAAAGGCGATAAGCAGGGTCCAAGTTACTCAGACTGGGCTTTAAAGGTGGCAAATAAAGACTTTATTAGACAAACTTCACCAAAAGGAACCATTTTTCAGTCCTAATTTTGGGTGAAAAAAGTGTGATGATTTGGTAAAAGAACCTCCATGTCGAGTATTATTAAAGCCAAAATATTTCAATCAAATGAAAAGGCCATCATCTTACCAACTTTTTGTGTTCTCATGCTTTAGGCCTATAAGCCTAATAGCCCTTTGCATAAACACACTGCCAGAAACACCGGGGCAAACCCCTTCTCTTAGCGATAAGTGTTACTGGGTTCTTTTACATGCATAACAGGCACGGGACCTACAGCTTTACGTCCCATCTGAAGGACGAAGCAATAATGGTTAAGTGTCTTACTTAAGGACACAAATTTTAAGACGCGGACCCGAACCCACACTCTGCTGATTAGAAACACCAGAGATTGTGTCCGATGCACTTAACAGCTCGGCCATCACACTCCGTTGGAACTAAATTGTGGCTTTTGCACAGGACTGAACCCAATAGTTGTTTACATGAAGCTAGCCATGCTACACACGCGTGAAGTGTCAGTACCAATCCAAACATATGGCGGCCAACACTAACATGACAAACTCGTCGTAAGTTTCGCAATGAAAAAAAAAAACACTTTTGAAATAATTTTAATGCTGAACGTGTGTTCTTTGTCACTACTTCTATCATATAAAGCATTTTTTGATGTCCAAATTTTTTTTTTTTATACTTTATATAAAATTTGTTGACGCTGGACTGGCGACCATTGACGCTTGTCATGCTTGTTGAAGCATGTTAAAAGGTAGCCCCACTAGTGTGGCCGCGATATTGCTGCGCTGCAGAGATACAGCGCAGCAATATCGCGGCCACACTAGTGGGGCTAGTTTAAAGCTATAGTCCATCATTTGCAGCCATCCGAAAAGTAACTGGCATAATTACTGTTGAAAAACAAACTTGGTTGAAAGATAGTAAGGGAACTAAACTCCCTGTGAAATTATTCTTTCTGGGAAGCTGTCATTTTGAAGTAATCAACGAAAGAAGGCATTTCCAACGGTGATTCTTAAGAAGCACCGTAGGAAAATTTACATTTGCAAACATCAAAAAGCAAAACTACAATTTATTATAAAATACCTTACATAAAATACCTTACTGGACTGTTAATGGCAGTCTTAAGCATCCTGTAAAATCATAGCACCTGGGGTGCTGTCATTTTCAAGAAACATTGTATTTTTGTATCAATTTCCAATGCTGGTCAGCCGACCAGCGTGAAAAACAAAACTGCTATTTTTCAAACACTGCCGCAAATTTACCATATTTAGATCGATTACCAGCCTATGAACAGTAAGCTAGACTGGTTCCCTTCCCTAACAATTCCCCGATGTCTATAAATTGTTCTGTTTCATCTGAAATTGGGTCAGGGAACCAGACCAGTACCAGAACATTATTGTTTTTTCTTGGTTTTTCCAGCATCTTCGAACTCAAAACTTCAAATAAGTCAGTGAAAGTATTTGATATTAAAGTACTAACCCCCAAATCCATCCATTTCTGAAAATTACAGCAAAATCAACCGTTGTATATTCCCTTTAAGTACTAGGACCCGTGATACGGAACTACCGATAATCCTGTCATGCCAGTACTAGTCAGGAGGCATTGCATTGACAATGACAACAAAACTCAACATTTTGTAAACACCTGTGAACATGGTGAAAGAATTTCCATGTTTATCAATAATAACCTACACCAAATGTGACCTAAAAATGATCACTGAACATTTAAATGACTTACTCTTCAATAATCAATCCACATTATCCATATCTAACTGGTAAAAAAGCAGAATTTTCTCGATTACTAAAGCGGTTTTTCTACGTCTACTTTGTTGGGCGAACTAACGTGTCACGTCATCTGTTTTGAAATGGCGCCCTCTATTGATACAACAGCGACGCTTTAATTTTTCAGGGGGCGGGGCCACGGAATACATGAACTAGAGTGAGGGAGGTAAGGGCAGGATTAAAGGGCTGTTTACAGCCACAGGAGCCTCCAAACAAAATAAATCCAAAAAGTTGCAAATAGTCAAAACTGCGGTTTACAGACCTTTGACTCAAACTGGCGTCTTTTAAAGAGAATTTTGTTTTTGAAATAGGATTTTTTTTAAAAATGGGGAAAAAAATGAAAAACAAAAAATCATGCAACATAATGAAGGCCAAGTGAAAAAATTACCAGTTTCCCTGCTTCCTTTTTTGAGGCTGCATCAAACTGTTTTGTTTTTTTAATTTCAGGCATAACTTTTTTCCAAGATGTTTCAGATGTTCAGATGCATCTAATAGCTTTACTAATGTTCAATAAGCACTTCAAGAAGGTTTTGTGGTTATCAACTAGTAGATAATTAACTACCCAAAACAATCAAATAAAAAGGGCCTCCTCCTTTTTAAGGCATATATCATGTGAGCTAAATAATGGAAACCAAATTTTATGAAGGGAAAAAATCATCAAAAATATACTTTTTATTTTACAAAACAAGAGTAACGTACTTGACAGAATGTCGACGGCGACTTGATCGTTCAGGTTTGTTAATGATTGACTCGTGTTTCGTTTCCCTAGGTAAAATTCATTAGTCGCTGAAAAAGTTAAAGGACAGCCCCTTCCCCCTCCCCCCCCCCCCTGCCCCAGTTGTCCCTCATATTTCATGATGACTGCGTCACTCCCAAAAAAATATTTCCAGGAGATCAAATTAAATTTGCCTAAAGATATCAGTTCCACCATGGAGGAATGTGTTCTTATTCCTCCATGGTTCCACAAAACCAATCATTCAGTACCAATCAGACTGCAAACTTTTCTTGATGTTTTTCTTAGTGTTTTCTTGATTTACCGCACATCCTGCTACCGGTCTACGTGTCCAATAACACAAGACGTCCAATCACGAATGTATGCCTGTTCGGTGATAGACGCCGATTTCAATTAGCCGTGTCCTAATAACAGCTGGCTGCGACCGGCCATAACACAGCGGCTTATGGGAAGTGACTTCAGCCGCTTCCATAGACACTGTGTTATCGAAAGCCATAGCCTAGTAATAATGAGGACGCGACCCAATAACACAATAATCGTACTTCCGGTTTTGGTTCTCAGTCGGTGTCAAATGGCAATCGGGCCCGAAAGTTCAACACTCTTGCAATCGCAATGGCTTAGACTGTGTGGTCTGTGCGGTGCAGTGTCTTTTGGGAGTTTTTGATACACAGTTTCGGTTTTGCTCATACTATCAATCATAGATGTTTCAGGAAATCACAACTGAATATGTTTGAATTCTGTGAATAGAGGGGAATCTGGGGAGATGTTGACTGGATTAAGAAGCCTCGGAGTGAGGTAAGTTCAAGTTTTATCGAAGTTCGAACACAAGTCATTGCTGCGCTTGCAACAAATTCGTGTATTTGCCAGAATGCACATGTACACGTGTGCAGTCATCCGTGTGTACTTTGTTCACGCGTGATTAGACCTCTTGTGCACTTTAACATGACAACATGAAATTCACAAAACTGCATGCTGAGTGGATTGATTGATTCTGAAATTAGATGGCCTAATGTCAATGTCTTTGTCAATGAAAGTTTCGCGATTAGAATCTTTGTCAAGATTCTGGTCGTTATTTAATGTTGTTTAGCCTTTATGGTGGTTGTGGTGGTGTACTCTAACGTGGCGCACTTCGACAACTCACTGGACATCCGTTCAAATTGCTTCAAAATCCAAGAGCCGATTCTGTTCAGACTTACACACGTTAGTGCCGGATTGAACACCCTCCAGAAAAACTATCTGTCATTCATTTTGGTTTAGTACAAATGACAAAAAAATTCAGAGAGTACGACAGAATTGTCAAGAAGCTACTTATGCAAAACTGTCGAACTGTCCCCTAACGTGGTGCACGCCGCTGATTGGCTGAAATGGTTTGGTACCATGCTACGGTGGCCTATGACGATCATTTGCCCTGACGACAATTTGCCGTGAAAAAAAAATTTCATTTTATTGCATTTTACGTTATGCAGGAAACAATATGGATCTTTAGGTGTTTACAAGTTTACTAACGGCTACAACATTAAAAACAGTTGAAAAGTAAAGCAAATCTCTTGAACCTCGAAATCAGAAAATATAGCAATGCAAAAAGACATGACCCCTAAATAAAAAAATAAACATGGTCATTTCTGTTTTAGCCTCTGAAAAAGAACTTGCAACGTCAGGCCACATTGATTTTTAGAAAAAAATAAACAGTTACAAAAACGTACGCTCGTCCAATATTGTAAAAAAAAATAAAAATAAAAATATCCAGTAACTTGAATAAATGTTTTTTAAAAAGAAGTAGGGCCTACAATACCAACAAATGACAATACAGACAAACAATACACTTTTGCCAGCTACCAAAATCGAATAAAGAAAAACAGTTACGAAAGTTGACAGGTTAAAAAACAGTTAGGCCTATGAAAGTTAACAGGTTAACTCTGCCACCGATACTGGAAAGTAAAAAAAATAATACATATCCCCACGTACGCTGAAGTTATTAAAACATAATGTTCATATATTTGTGACCGTGTGCATGTTATTTATAGTTCCCTTTTCCTCGTTCCAACGCTGCAAATGGGACACAGAAATTCTTCTTCGATCGTTGGTTCCGTCACTCTGTTGCAACAGTACTTCAGGTGAACCCAGCTGTAGCACTTGTCGCATCGGGCCCAAAGTATTATCTTTGGACCTCCAGTTTTCTTGACATTTTTCGGCCATCTTCTGTTGTAAACAACACAGTTGTCGTCCTCATCGCTCACATCATCTGATGATGGGTCGGGAGAAGAAGCCTTTCGGCAGCATCTGCTGGTAGATGGCTCTTGCGACTGCGGCAGTGACGCCGTGCACGTGGCCCGCAGCGGCGGGGACTTGGGTGCTTCCGTGGCGGATGACGCTATAGTCGGTATGGGCATTGACGGTGTGATTAGCGGCGACAATGGCGGAGGCATGGGGGACATCGGTGGTGACTCGTCGTACGATGCTGCCAAGTGGTCTGCTGCTGGTGCCAAGTGGTCTGCTGCTGGTGCCAAGAGGTCTGCTGCTAGTGCTAGGTCTGCTGCTTGCGGAGTCGGCTCCTTCGATTTGCGGCCTCCTTGTTTACTTTTAACCTTGAGGTATTCGTCTTCCTCCGTCAGCATTCGGGCACTTCTTATTGCTTTTGGTCGCCTGGCGAACACTTCTGGAGATGATGGAAACTTCTCGATAGGGGCCATCGATGGAAGAACTTCCCCTCTCCGGTTGCTCAGGGAGCTTGCTCAGCACGACGTCAGGGTTGAATGGGCAAATTCCAGTGCATCTGAAGGATGATACTAAACTGTCACTGCTAATTCCCATCATGTAAGCTTTGCATGCCAGCGAGGCGATGTCTTCTTCGACCAGAATGCAACCTGTGTTCTTGTACTTGTGGAGCCAATTGTGAACTGCTCTGTTGTAGGTGGCCTTGAAAGGAGCAAAGCAGCCCACGTCAAGGGGTTGTAGGATGTGGGACGTGTGTGGAGGTGTGACAAATAAATGCACTCCTTCCAACCGGGCCTCTTCGATAATCTGCACGCTGATGTGGGTAGAATGGCCATCATACAGCAGAAGAAGCGGCCTAACTGACCCAACTTGTGGTAGGAAGTGACCCTTGAACCATTGGAGAAAGGTAGCACTGTTGCTCCAGCCGGTCTTTGTGGCATTATAACCTGTCCCTGACAAAGTCCCCTCCGTCCACTCTTGTCGAACCCTTGCCCCCTTGAAGATGATGTATGGCGTGAGCCGATTTCCCATGGCATTCCCACAGGCAATGATGGTGTGTATTGGACCCCGTCCACACGAGACAGCGTTGAATGCTCCTTGGCTCGGCCCCAGAGATTTCGGTGGCTTGTGATCTCTCGTGATTCCTGTTTCATCGACGTTGTATATCTGGGCAGGACAATCACGCAGGTTGTACTTCTCGAGAACCTCTAGAAGTTTCCCAAAGTACGCCTCTAAAATTGATCTCCTGGACATTTCTGCCCTCAAGTGATCCAGTCTGCTTGGCCTCCTCGGTCTTATGATATTCTTCCATCTTGTGAGGAAGCCGTAGTACCAGTTCCGTCCTGGTATGAAGTCGGTGAATCGGCACTTGCGCTCTTGATCCTCGCTGCACAAGATCCGGGCCATTTCGCCGGCGATCTCACGGATTTGACTTCCAAGATAGGAGTACCCCATTTGCCCCACATATGAAATGTGTTCTGCCAGCTTCTTTTCTTCATATTCTTTGAAGAATGTTGTACGTCCACCTTGTGGTTTCCCGGCAGGTACTCCATTTGTTGCCCATCGTCTCAGCGTGGACTCGGGCAAATTGAATTTTTTTGCCGTCAGTCGATAGGAATCTTTTCGCTTGACTTCCAAAGAATGAACGGCAGCAAGCATGGAATTCTGCCGAAGATCTCTCTACAAAAATGAATAAATAAACAAACAAACGATATACTACAAGTTTATTTATTTTAAAATTTAATACATGATTAAATATACAACTCTAGCTCAAGTTAAGAGAATAGAAAAATCAGCAGTTATGTTTCAATAATACATTTATTTCTGACACGATATTTAAAAGGCATCCTAGACGTTTTAAATACATAACAATTTCAACAATATTCATATAATGTCAATTACCTCTACGTTTTGCATATCCGCTACATTTACTCGATTATAATATCTAATCAAAAGTGCACCCGCATGGTACCGGTGACGCCAAGCCACATAAAAACTAGGCCTAATTGTATTCACTTTATATGTCTATTACAGGCTACCGTACATGACGTCATGACAACCTAGAGCAGACGACACTATTTTTACGTTCCGGTAAATTTCCAGTAAACTTCGGATTATTCTGCTTACTTTTCATTAATACTGATAACGTTGACGAATAATATTACTTTTTAATTAGTTTAATTGTTTTGGAATCTTGAATTAAAAGAAAACGTCTGCTTGTTACCTTTTTTTGGCCATTGTTTCTGGACGTCGACGGCATCTTGATACTTTTTGCTATGGGATCGTCTGGCTTTCTGTGTAACCTTTGACCTTCTACGCGCAATCGTGACGTCAGAAATTTGAATCTAGTATGTATATTTGCGAAGGATTGTGTGACCTTTATTAAGTGTTAATTGTAAGAAAAATGGATTGTTCATTTCGTCAAGAGAGGAGAAAAATCAAAGTGCGCCACGTTAGGGGGCGCGCCACGTTAGGGTACACCAACAATATATACTTCTTTAGACACCTCTATTTTTTACAAGTTCCTTTCACAACTGACTTGTGCAGGCTAAAGCAGTCTTATTCCTTCAGATTATAATCATGTTTGTTTTAATTTTGAAATGTACTTTCAAAGAAAATGTAACTTTCCTACTTTTTATTCAGTCAGAGACTTGAGACGTGCGAGTTGTAGTTCTCACAACATGCACGAAGCGGTACGATACGCTTTGTGCTAGTGCTTGTCCCTGTCATGACACAATGAAAGCCTGATGCTGATTGGCTGATAAACAAAATTTTAAAATATTTTTTTTTATCAGCAAATCAGCATTGAGCTTTCATTGTGTTCGCCACTGTCGCTGTCTTGATATTGAGTGTGTTTTCTGGTTGTCACCGTCTTCATGAAAGCCCAATGCTGATTGGCTGATAAAAAAAATAAAAAAGTCTTTTATTTTATCAGCCAATCAGCGTCGAGCTTCCATTGTGTTCAGTACTGTCGCAGTCTTGGTTTTCGAGCATGTTTCTGGTTGTCGTCTTTTACCTCGTAACTTCCCTCATAAGTCATCAAAGCCCTGCCCTGTTTCCACACAATTAAACCTGCTGATGTTCAAGAAGGTGTTATAACCAACTGATCAGATGTGTCTAGAAATATCAGAATGTCACTTTGAGTGTCATTTAGTCAGCTGTTTTGGTGGGTCTTAACCTTATATAGGAACAGGGGGTAAAGATAACGATCACCAAAGTACAATGTATTTGCTACATGTAGGTGGGCACGGATGTCCGGGAATTTGTAATAGGCTAATCTAGCCGAAAGACCCATTTTTTTGAAACTCAATGGTTCTTGAGTCTGGAGTGCTGAATGATAACACATATCATTATCAACCAATGAAAACTGGTGAGCAAATGAAAAGATGTTTTCATCGGATGACGTCACTTCGCCCCAATCTATTTATTTAAATTAGGCCTACGCATTTTGTTTTGCCATTGACAAAGATTCTGCTGGAATTGAAATGTGTGAATCACGGACCATTTACACATAACAAAGAACACACATGACTGCTGAACATAATCGATGTAACCCTTGAAATCGTAATGCACTGCTTGCCCTAAAAAAAATTAGGCCTACATTATTAGTTATCCCGCGAGCGCAAGTGGAACACTGAATAATGTAGTGCGTCTGTGTCCCACATACCACGAGACCAAAGGCCGAGTGGTATGTGGGACACAGACGCACTACATTTTCCGTGTTCCACAAGCACGAGCGTGATAACGAATTGATCTTCAAGCAAACTTGACGCGTAGTAAAGTTGGACCATCACTTTACACGAACCTTTTAGCGGTTTAGCGCATGCAGCTGGAATGTCGCTCGCATCTTGGAATAGCGCAATACGCAGGGTGCGATATGGACCGTGCAGTACAGCCTCATATCACACTGTCGTTGCCATGGATCGACCAATCAAAATCAAGGATACAAGTTGGCTTGAAGATAAGATCTACTATTAAATTCATGATCAGAAAAAAATTCAAATTCACAAACTTTACAGTCTCAGGTTTGTTTGGAACATGAGCCTGCGTGGTCCTACTAGTTTCTTGTTCCTATTTTTTGGATCTCTCGTAAGCATTACTGAGGAGTACTGTACAGTTAAACATAGACCAACTTGTCCTCATGGTGGGAGTACTTGACATGCCCAACAAAGATTTTCCAACAAAAATGCCTTTGATATTTGTCTAAATACTTCTTACACGTTTGTAATCACTAAATATGGGGTATTTCAATTGCAAGGTAAACATGTCTAACATTGTCTACGCAAATCTGTAATAATTTATACTGCACCCAAAGGTCTCTGTATTCTGCCAACAACAATTCTGTCTCAAGTACAGAGTTCGTGGCAGTTATGTTTATTTCAATTCAGCGGTACAATTATTTTAACAGAAAAGTTTTCTGCAACATAACACACTCCAAACACATTAAACTAATAATTTTTTTAACAATATGGATTGGATGAGAATTCAGGGAATGTTGATCTTTTCCTGAATTTGAAAACATCCATTGTAACTTTTAACTTGGGAAATATTCAAATAATCTGTTCTGACCGTTAGAAATTAGGGAGTGCTTTCTAAAAATGTGCAGAGTTGGTAACGTTATCGTTGGTTACCGGTACGTGTGTGTTGGGAGTTTAAGTGTTTAATTACATGTAAGTGCACGCCCTTAACATTCAGCTCCTTAACTTGTCCATAGAGACCTGTACGTTTGGTAGTGTATTAAGTACACGGCAACCAATGGCATGAGTTCTATGTGAAGTATTTGCTTGTTCAGTTCGAGTTCGGTCTGTTGACACTGGTTGAAGACTGTGCAACATGTGGTGCGGCAGTGCAAATAAAATGCCGCTCACGAACATGTGGTATTTATCCACTCAACTAAACACATTGTGTACACAAGTTGATGAGAATATGGGAAATTGATTAAAAAGGCTAACTCGTCTGCCAAAGCGGGGGGAAAAATTTAAAAAGACTTTGTGGCGTTTTACAGACAGGTGTTTTGAGTTGCGCATTATTGATTGGTGAATAAACTGCATGGGACCATGCTGACATGTCTGGCTAAAATGCCTGGTTGAATTTTAAAAACAATTTGGTGTCATTTTTGTATAGAGGGGTGTATGTGTGGTTTATTTTGTGCAGCCACTTTTTGAATGCCAAGTTTCAAAGTTTGACAGTTTTGGAAAGTTTTACCTTTTACAAATACAGTCTCATTTCATTTTCATTTATTGTTTCGCAGGAAAAAAAATATATGTACACGTATACATGTATTAAAAACAAGTAACTACAACTAAGGTAAAAAGATGGACAAATAATTGAGATAGGAAAAAAATTGCACCCCTGCAGGATCACTAAAAAGTTAAGGTAATAAATATCGAGTAGTTCTCCAGGCACAATTTAACACAAACGGAGTAAAGCACTGCAAAAACAATGAATATCACCCCCACAAAAATCATCCTAATTCGTGAATTGCACTTTTATACAATCAAGGAATTTAAGTTCAAAACCAAGTAGACTAAACACTAAAAAAGTTATAACAAAACATATTACCCCCTCCCTGCATGTAACTACATACAAATTGCACAAAGAGAGTCAAAGTATTCATCAGAATAATGCTAGGGGTGTTCAAATTCAAAGCAAAATAAAACAGCGTGCGCTTCAATTCCAGATATCAGTAATGTTTCTGGGGTGGATAATGTTTGTGTCAGTCATTCTTTGGAATGTTGATTAAATTTAAATATGCCAAAATTTGAGCAACTTGTCTCTTAACCCTAACCCCGCTGAATCCAACAGGATCCAACTATGTCACATACCCGATGGAGCCTGTTGGATTGAGCAGTTAACCCTTGTGTACATTCCTCATGCAAAATGTTGGATTCAGCAGGCAACTGAACCGCATTATAACGCATTGTTGGACTCCGTTGGATTCAGCAGACAACTGAAAATGAGGCACAGTGGATTGAACAGGAAAGTCCGGTTGGACTCTGTTGGATTTAGCAGGGTAGTCCTGAGGAAGTACTAGGGGGTTAGGGTGTTAATATCTGACTGAAAAGGTACAATCTTTGTAGTCCTGTTACTTCCAAGGGAATTTTAATTTAATTATTAAAAAAGTTCATTTTAATTTTGTAACAGGTGTTTCTTAAAATCACAGGTTGCTTAAGGTCGAATAATGTGCATTCTGTAAAATCTTTTAAAGAAAATAAACTTTAAATGACTTGTTAAAGTTCCTAGCACCCCCATTTGAAAATGAAACACCAAATCGTTTTTTTTTTTACAAAAACAGCTGCTGGCAAAGTCTTCACGTTAATTATCTGCATCTCAGGCGTGACCAATTCTTTTGATATTTGCATACAGTTAAATGACAGGTGTTGTTGAACAAAATAGTTGTCATCTATGTGAGTGATCTGTGTTTCGTTTTTTCATCCTTGTCTATTTATTAATTGACACGAGTGCGGCTTGGCGCCATTTTAACATCACTTTTCACCAGGTGTTGCTCCACACAAATTTTTGTTTGGTAAAATTCTCTGAAATTTTGACTTGCTCGAATGTGTAAAATTTTCACCTGTAAATGTTCTGGTGAGTTGAGATGTTTTTCCTAAATTCTGTTCAGAAATGCCCATAAGCTTTAAGGCTTTCTACATTGTGTAAATCTATGCTCACAGGAAATATCGTCATTAACCATTTTGCGCCGGGATTATTTTGATATTGACTGGTCCCAGGCGCAGGATTGTTTTTCACGAGCCTCAATGCCAGACGGGTTCAGGTTGTCATCTGCGGGTAGCATATTCTGATATTTCCGGCCTCGCTCGCTGTGAGCGGGTCGCAGACAATATTTCCAGCCTCGCTTGTTGCGTGTTTATTCGTCATCCGTTCCAAATACTGCAAAAACTTTGCGTGTATGCATCTCATTCGATGTGAACTGGTTAATCTTATCACTAAGTTAATTTGTCTTCATTCAAGATTAAATTTTCCCTGGATTTTCCTACAGTCATGGTAAGAATCTGAGAGAAGTTTATTGTTTCTCCAGTTGATGTAGTTTAATTGTTATCAATATTTTATTTTTCTTTCAGATCCTGCCAGTTATCCTGGCTTGTGGGTTTCTCCCGTGATACATCTCTCCACAACAACTCACTAACAAGACCAGCACCGCCGATGAGCCGAAACTCAAGATCTAAAGTCATCTTGAGAAACTGAGCGCCAACATTATTGCCAACATGAAGATGGCCACGGAAACCCACCCGGCCCATTCCTCATATTTCTACCTGGTCATCCTGAATTTATACACCTTTGGCATTGAGTTGTGCTCCTCGGCATCCTTCAGTTATCTGCCTCCGTTGTTGTTGGAGACGGGCTTCTCCGAGACGATGATGAGTATCGTCATGGCGCTCGGACCCTTCTTTGCTCTTATAGTCTTGCCGTGCCTTGGTACGGCTAGTGATCAGTGTACGAGTAGGTACGGCCGTCGCAGACCGTTTATCCTAGTTGTGACAATTTGTATCAGCATCTCACTAGTCTTGCTCCCAAATGGGATGGATCTGGGACTGAAGCTAGGCAACTTCCTCCCAGGAAGGTTCACCGGCCTTGCCATCATCTCCTTCTCTGTCATCCTCCTTGATTTCGGCTCCCAGATCTCTCTCCTACCAGTCGAATTGATCATGTCCGATCAATGCAAATCCGAAGTCCAACTCAACAAAGCGTACTCTGTATTTAACTTCATGCTAAGTTTGGGATCTTGCTGCGGCTACGTGGTGCTATGTATAGATTGGAACAAGACAGATTTATTTGCTGTCCTTGGTGGAAAGGAACACATGATCTTTGCTATTCTACTTTTCCTTTTGCTCATATCGGCGTTACCCACGCTGCTGTTCGCCCACGATCCACCAGTCACAACTCGCGATCTTCAGCCTAAAATATCCACCCAAACACCTTCAACTGGAAACCAAGCTCCAACGCATCCTAAACAGAACGGTAAAACAACTGGATCTGTTCCCACCAGCCTAAGTAACAACTCACCTCGTCATGATCAGATCCCACCGATAGTTCTCTCAACTAACCCACCTTCCATCTCCATCAACGTTCCGACCGTAGTGACCCTCGGAATGCCCATCTCAGTCAGCCGGAGACACTTGATCGTACAGATCGCCTACCAGTTCATCAACATCCCCATAACGTGCGTGTGCACCTGTATTTATTTCGTTGTTCCCAAGTCCTACCAAACGTATCTCTCAGATACCGTCCATAGCTTAAGAACGATGCCGTCTGTCTTGCGTAAGCTGTGTATCGTCAATCTGCTGACGTGTATGGCAGTCATGGGCTTCAAGTTGTACTTCACTGATTACGTCGGTGAGGCGCTGTATCATGGCAACCCAGACTCGCCTCTGAATTCTCTTCCAAGACAGTCTTATGAAAACGGTAGGTACAGCTTCAATTTCTCTTTACATGTACCTGGTAGGAGTTTTAGTCAAATCAATCGCAAGTCAATGGCAAGTCAATCGTAAGTCAATCACAAGTCAGTCACAAGTCAATCACAACTCAATCACATGTCAAATCACAAGTCAATCACAAATCAATCACAGGTCAAATGCAAGTCAATCGGAAGTCAATCGCAAATCAAATCACAAGTCAAACGCAAGTCAATCACAAGTCAATCACAAATCAATCGCAAGTCAATGGCAAGTCAATCGCAAATCAATCACAAGTCAATCACAAGTCAGTCACAAGTCAATCACAAGTCGATCGCAAGTCAATGGCAAGTCAATCACAAGTCAAATCACAAGTCAATCACAAATCAATCGCAAGTCAATGGCAAGTCAATCACAAGTCAAATGCAACAAGTCAAATGCAAGTCAATCGCAAGTCAATCGCAAATCAATCACAAGTCAATCACAAGTAAGTATTGTAGTAAGCAGGAGGTCGTGGGTTCAAGTCCCATTGAGTAAGCTTGTGAATTTTTTCTCGCAAGCCCTCAAACAACACCGAGTATACACGTTGGCAAAGGGCAAAACCCAATATAAAAATTTACATCATCCTGATGCAAATTCAATCAAATTAAAAAAATATTTATACCAATCAGGATTGTGTCATGTTTGAAGTGGTGCCTTCTGCAATAATACAATTGTTTCACATTTTGAGATTGTTTGTTCTTTGCACTCCAGGTATCCGAATGGCCAGTCTGGGTCTCCTTCTTCAGAGCATCACCTCCGCCATGTTCTCCTTTGTTCTCAATCATCTCGTCATCTCCTACGGAACCATCTCAACGTTCCTCTTCGGCATGTTGAGTTTTGTCGTCATGACCGCACTCATGTTGGTAGTCGAGGATATCTCGTTGACGTTAATCCTTGCTGCGTTTACTGGGTTTGCGTCGGCTACAACCAACTCATTGCCTTTCACTTTGCTGTCTTCGTACCACCAAAATCAAGAGGTTTGTTTTTATATAATGAATAAGTAAGATTTGAGTCTTTGCATGGTGGAGATACTAAATAATGAAAGGTTTGCGGAAACACCATGTGCGAATAATTTCTCAACTAAGAGAATGGTTCTGAAAAGAACCAGAGGTATAAACTCGTCGTTCCGGTCAGTATGCTCTGACCGTCTTCAGGAGAGGTTTGTTTTTGGATTCCTTTTCACAACCACATTTCAAGAAAACTGCTCTTTGAATTTTACAGAGGCTCTGTCTGAAATCAACATATTTGTCTAGGCTATGGCTATGTACTGTAGCATCAATGTGGACCGTAGCTTTAGCCGCTAAACAACTGATTCTGACTTGGGCTTACCCAGTACAGTGTATTGTTAGTAATGAGCCATTCCAGTGTTAATGTCAGCGACAGAGCTTTTAAGAGTTTGGTGAATAAATCTGACAATGTATTTTTCAAATCTTAAACATCCGTTATCTGGTAATGGTCAAGGAGATTACAGACTAGGAGTTTGGGATCATTTCTCTGAATCATAAACTAGATATGGTTAATCGGCTCTGTGTCACCAACATTGCACTTCCACTCATATGTGACATTGCACTTCCACTCATATGTATTTGGAATTGCCCAAATACATTATAACCAAGCATTTGTCAATAGCGACCATGGTGCATGTATGTTCATAGCCTACTGCTTGTGATAGTCACATAATTCACTTACGGGCTGTAAATGCTGTACATGCGCAGTGTGAGACATCCACTAGTCTTCGCATGTTGGCGACATTTTACCAACATACTCTGGCGCTACGGTGGCATAAAATGTCCAAAATTTATATTATATGAGTTTTCCCAAAGTTATATCTCGTAAATATATACTCAAAACAAGTTTCCAATAAAACTCACCATATAATCAACCGGGCTGTATTTTTTTAAAAGGAATATTCGTTGCTTTTTTTTGGCCATGAAAATTGACTGTGAATCATATTGCATAAGGAGCAAATCAATAATTGTGAATAGAAAAAAAATTGCTCCCTATTTATCACCTGGACGGGAACATTGACATTGCTGGCTTCACTTCCATAGGTCTCACTTATTCCTAAAAACTCAGATTTTTATAAAATAAATATCATAACCAACGAAAATCACTGCTTGCGAAAAGACCATTACGTCATTTGAATATGGAACATCAATAGACCTATTGAAACAGAAATTAGAGTAAGAAAAGACTGATTATGTCATGCTGCATTTAAGCCTTATTAAGGGACAAAGGCTGATGGCGTCGAGAGATATACCTGGGCACAATAGACAAACTAAGTGGAAAGCACAAACATATGTGGGTGTACATGTAGTTGCTACATTGTAGCAAGCCTGAAGAAACATGTAGAGAGAGAAAAATTAAGAAACCTTAAGTTGTAGAGGTGGGAGGAAAATCCCAGATAATAATGTGGGGGAAATCTGTAAAGTATGGTAGGGACTGAAAACCTAATTCACAGGCCGGCTTGAATGAGATTCAAACCCCGGTCACAGAGATTGAAGGCGTGGAAAGTAGTACCACCATTTCAGCCAATTTCTGAAATATTATCCTTGCATTGTTTCTTGTATTCCAAATCCGACACACCACTTTTTACACTTGGATTCAACCGAATATGCAAACTTTGAATTGAAGTTAAAAAAAAGTAAAAATATTATGTATGCATCGCTGTATTTATTGGAGGCAGCTGACTAGATGATATTTGAGCGGCTTTAAAATGCAAATTTTGGCTACTCTTTCTCGCACAAACTCTCAAATCATGCATGTGAAGTGACTGCTCGCCAAAAAAAAAAAATGTGGCATTTGGCAAGCAATAAAATGGTTTAACTTGTATGAAGAAAATTAAATCATCAACGTTTTCATCATCCCCTCCAGACAACTTACAGTTTTCAAATATTCTCTTTGGTGAAATGTTATTCAGATATCTGGTGATCGAATATTTGGATATCCGGTTAATCAGCACAGCCCTATTTTTGTTTTCCTTTTTTCAGAAGTACTACAGCGACACAGAGATACAAGATTCCCGGCAGCGTGGTATTGGCGTCGATATGGCCCTGCTAGACAGCGCCTACGTCCTGTCTGAAGTCCTGTCTTCCTTCCTGTTTGGTATTGCAGTGGAGATAACGGGCACCACGCTATCTTACATGTTTTGCTGTTGTGTGTGCGGTCTGCTGGGTTGCTACTACGTCCTACAGTTGAAATGTTGATTGGTTATAAAGTATCAACCTGTCAATACTGTGACAGAATCTACATGTGTTAAGTGATGTGTTGTAATTTGCATATGACCTCATGATGACCTATGATATACCATAGAGCTATATTAAATTACTAGAGCGCTTACTCTTCATTTTTGTGCGCGGAGACGCTTTGAAGCCGTCCTGGGCGCAGACATTTTGAATTTATGTGCGTGTTTGTAGAACACTAACAAAATAGATGGATTGAATTTTAAAGGCGTACTCTAAATGCAGCGCGCAAGTAGAATATACGCAAACAACTTAAGCGCATCGTGACGGTTCAAAAATCGTCACGGCGAAAAGCATCTGCAGTGGAGGGACGCGCACACGTTGCGCTGTTTGCCTAGAGCAAAATGACACGCTCATTTGCTGATCGTGTGTTTCGGTTTTGGGCGTATCAGCTTCGATGACGCACCGGTACGGAATACAAACGCAGATGCAAACAGACGTACAAAATACGTACACAATTTCTAGTTCTCCATTGGTTTGTGTACAAACATGGATGCGCCCAGCAGGCATCACTTTGTACATGAGTTAGCGCTCTAGTAATTTAATATAGCTCTATGGATATAGCATACATAGGTTTGTCATTTTGTGGTTTGAGGTCAAAGGTACCATTGTATGCTGCAAGCGACCTTACTAATTTGCATATGACCTCAAGGTGACCTTGAATTTGCATATGACTTCAAGGTCGTCTTCTGTCATATTTTGCATATGTTTTCAACCCTCTACCCACATTTTAATGCTTGCATGTCATTTTATAGTGATAAGTGGAGAATACTTTGAACCTCATAGTAAACCCCGAGTCATTTGCATAATAATAAAATATCATGAATGCTTAGCAGAAAATAAGGTTGAAATTAGTGTCCCCCCATTGTCAAAATTGGACAAAACATGGTCAAAAAAACTGCAATAATGTACTTAACTTGGAGTGGACCGAGTTTCCCAAGGTATTAAGAAATAAAATATCATGCAAATAATGAATGTTTACGAGTGCAATGTGAAGAATAATTTCATGAGATGACAGATGGAAAAGAATGGAACATTAAATAATTACATAGTTCTTGCCATTGCACGAATGTGAAACATTCGTTATTTGCTTTATCCCACAACTGAATAAATCCTCGTCCTCTGATTGGTCAAAGCTGCCAAAAAAGTGACCGTGAAATTTCTATTTAGCGTGGAATAGAACTTCAGTTTTTGCCGTTTGGCTGCGCCAAGCATCAGGACGCATAATGTAATGACATGTGATCAACGAGCTACCAATCAGGTGACAGGGATTTATTCAGGGCTTGTTTACTTAGTATTAGAAACGTGGTACTTATATTTTGGAATTCTATTTTTGTTCAAAGTTTTGTCATTTTTGTTCTTACATCCCACAGATTCTTTTGTTCGTGTTTAATATTTTCTGCCAATTTTGTAGATTATTTTTGCTAGTTTGAAATATATTTAGATATACACTGTATAGTCATTAATGTAAAAGGCCATGTAATTTAAGTGTAAATAAGGCAGTTTTAAATATGGACAACTCAAAAAGTCTGTAATATAAAAATATACTTACATGTAGCTTATATTTTTTAAAGAATTTTATGGCAGATTTTAGGAGCAGGGTGAAGTGGAGTTTAATGTGCCCTCATAGGTTTTAAGCCCAACTACCTGAATCCCACAGAATCTAACACTGCACGAATAGGGCTCCCTCAATGACGGCCATCTCTGTAGGAGAACTGCAACTGCGTATTTGACGCAATCAAGCACGCATTGCGCAGTGTTGAAAATGTTCCAAACACGTGCACTTGTTGCTCGAAATGTGCTCGAAATACAATGCAGCCGATGCGCGTTATGCAAGTTGACGCTCAAAATGCCGATGCACGTGGATGGTCTGTAGGAAATGACGTCATTTGAACGAGACCTATTGTCAGAGAACCAGTCACTGTCAATATACATTACATTGCCGTTTGGCTGGTATCCTATGTTTGCTAATTAAAAGATGGAAAACGTCGGTGAAGGGCAAAACCTAATTTGATATATTTACTAAGCTAATAATTTATGGGCTTAGTAAGTTTCTGTTCATAGCAGCTGCATTTTAGTATTTTTTGGCAAGGTATTATTATTATTAGTGTTTTAAAGGTATATAGGATCATTTGTGTATACCCCAAAAGTAACCTACCAAATTATAATCAAAAAAGGTACTTGGAGTAAAGAACGTACTTATTATATCAAAATTATTCCGTCTGGTTTGCTGTCGTTTAGAAGAAATTAAGAAATGTAGGTGATTTCCGACAACCAATTGACTGATTTTGTTGGGAAATGTAGACTGCTATGGACAAAATCGTGTTTCGTGATTAAAAGGTTGTGCATGGTTTTTCGGTGCTTTCTCGAAAGGTGTAATATCCACTGAGCTGAAACTTCAACAGGTTAGGTTTTGAACATTCTGCTTTGGATTTTGAGTGGTGTTATTAATGGTAACGAAAAGATTCTATATGCCTTTAAGGAATTGTCTGAAATGAAATTATCGGATTGCTGCAGAAGGATTGGAACCCTAGACCATGGAACTCTGGAAAAGTTTGGTCAGTTCTGCACTGTCACACTGCCAATGTATAGTTAAAATTGTTCAAGACTAAACCAGTCTAACAGAGAGACGCAACTCGTTCTGCTAAGGTGTGCTTAATTACATCAAACATACTCAGTTTATCTACCAACAACTCGGCACTTTTTTTTGGTGAGTTTTGTACTTGGGTTTAATATACTTAAGATTTTTTTGTTTTAAAGTGCGATTTAAATGTGGACAACAATTGGAGCAAATTTTTGTGACATTTAAATCACATTGTACTTTGGTTTGAACTTACAAAGAATCATAAAACAAAAATTGGATGAAAATTTGAATCATTATGTGAGGCTGAAATGAGGATTGTAATGATGACGTTAATGATTTGATTTTTTTTAAGCAATTAGGTGGAATTAATTACAAAAATGCAAAAAAGTAATTTTTGTCCTGGATTAATCAGAAAAAAAGTTAAATTTATAAACCATGAAAAATTGGGACGGCTTATTTGATCATGGATCATGGAATTTTAAGTCAAATTTTAAAGATATTTCTAAACTACAGCATCTGCGTGGTGTATGGTGAAAACGGCGCTGAAAATAAAGCCTAAATTAAGAAATGGCGATGGTTTAATGGAAGAAGGTCAAACACCAGTTTGATCACACGCAAGTCTAATGAGATAATTATGGACAACACAATGCAATGGCACTATGCGCACAAAGAACTGCAAATGTATGCCAAAGACTGCATAGACCAACGTGTATCGATCTATGAAACGTGCTTGACTTCCATAGACGTATGTGTGGACAAACCAGTTTTTGACCATTTTACAGTAAATGGCCGCTTTTTCTTAACTTGAGCTTTATTTTCAACATTGTTTTTCACCATATATAACCAAGATCTTGTAGCATAGGAATATTTTAAAACAACTCAACATGTCTCAACAGTTTTGAGAAATGTGTAAAGGTTTTTAGGGCTACCCTGTATTGTTTGAGAATGCTTCACAACTGAAATTTGCTTAGCCAAAAAAAACCACCGCTAATCAATCAAAACTTGCTAAGCTAAATCAAGGCATGGTCAAGTTTATACTTATGATAATGGATGAATCATTACATAGCTGAAATAAGTCTGGTTCGTCTGAACATTGAACTATAGCTGCATGGTCTGAAGTAGGGTCAGGGAACCCGACTACAAGAACAGTATTTGTTATCTTGGCTTTTCACAAAACGGGTCAGTGTAACAATATTTGCCATATTAACCCCTAGATCCATCCATTTCTGAAAATTACAGCAAAAAGCAAATGTTGTATGTTACTTTTAAACAAACAGCAATTCAGTCTATACATTTAAGAGATCTTCTTGTTTGGCTTTTAAGGTTTTTCTTTTTAAGTTTATGGGTTTTTTTGTTTCATTATACAAATATATTTATATATACAAATATATTATATTGTTTATTCCTTATCTAAAAACTTCTCTTGACTTGCCTGGTTTTCAGCTTTCACCTTTTAACCATTTTATTTGTATTATTTTTTCTTCACAAATCCAATTTTATTTTGTTTTGGTTGCATTTATGAATATTTCGCATTCACAATTTGCATTGTACAATTCTCACCTGCCATTGGTCAGTCTTTATGCAAATGAGCAAGTTGGCTTTGACGTCACATCTGAGTGACTTTTGCCCCACCGCAAATGTGACGCCCTCAGAGTGTTTTAACTTGAAAAAAAAACAAAGGTTTTTACGTGTCTTTAACAGTATTTAACTTTCAAGATTAATTTTCTTTTTGTGTTTTCAGATGAAATGGCGTTTTTAGGTGACCTTCTTTTCTTTTCAGTTTTGGCTAAGTTTGAAGTGAAGAATGGATTCATTAAAAAGTCGATGGATGTGTGAAATCAGATTTATGAATGAATTTTTTCAATGTGACTTATCCGGTATATAATCCCATGCAATGTAATTGTTTTTAATGCAGTTCTTGAAAATACACCTTTGTGTCCCATTTAACCTGATTTTCAATTTTCGTTTTGCCATTTTCAAGGGTATTTTGGAGCCTTTTTGGTTTGTATGCTATTGCGAATTTCCATATACAAGAGCAAAATTGTGATGTAATTTCAGGCACAAACTTCTGTTACAGCTGTTTCAGCAGAAAAAGTTACAAGAATTTTGGATATTTTGCTGTTCTAAATTTTCTTTTCTTTAGTGATTTGTTTTGTCAGTATATGGCAGGTAGCCAATGAGCAATCTTTTCTCACAAATGTTTTCAATGAGCAGATTTTTAGGTTCACATTTGAACAGAAAACCCCTAAACTGAACAGTGTCTTCCTGGAATGACATCACAGCAACAGCGCCCACAGTTGTCCGGAAAAGCATGGAATATTTTAAATGTTTAAAGAAAAGCACTTGTTAAAGGGAAGATACAACATTTGCAAACATTACAAAACGAAATGATCAAATTATCACAAAATACCTTACTGTATTGTTAGGGATTGACAGTCTAAAGCATCCTGTAAAATCGTGGCTCTTGGTGTGCTGACATTTTCGAGAACAATGGTATTTTTCCAACGCTGGTCGGCCGACCAGCGTTGGAGAAAACTGGCTTTTTTTCAAAACTGCTCCTAATTTTTCATAATTAGTTATTCCGTGTTTTCTTTGCAATTGATTACACAACTGTGAAGGGGTACAAGCCTACTAGACTGACTCTCTGATCTTACAATTCCCCAAAGTCTATAAATTCTCCGTTTCATTTTAAGTAAGGTCAGGGAACCAGACTACAAGAACATGAATGGTTTTCTTGCTTTTTCCAACATCTACAAGCCCAAAACGTGAAACAAGTCATTTTAACAA